TATATATATATATATAGAGAGAGGAAGGTTCAAACGACACTGGTGTAACTTTTACTAAGTGTTACACCACTCAATAACTTTATATTAAATGTGAATTTTGAAAAATCCAACCGTTAGATTGAAAGTTCATTACTATTAGATCTTATATATCAAATTTTGTTAAAATTGAACAACAACTTGAAGGTAATCAAAGTGCTCATATTTTAGTAATTTTGAAATGTATATATTACGTCAATTTTGTTTTATGGGAATGAAGTATCAAATCATCTTAGATTAATATAAAATTTGATATATATGATCTAAAATTAATGAACTTTCAATCTAACGGTTGGATTTTCAAAATTCACATTTAATATAAAGTTATTGAGCGGTGTAACACTTAGTAAAAGTTACACTGGTGTCGTTTGAACCCTCCTCATATATATATATATATGAGGAGGGATCATTTTACTCGGTTCAATAACTCATGTTCTACATCAAATTTCAACGATCCAACCGTTCAATTTAAAGTTCTTAATGCATAAATCAAATTTGCAAAATTTTAGAAAATTTGAAAATCATTTGATATTTCATTTCATTAATTCAAATCAATGTATAAAATGATTTTATGATTATTTGTCAATTTGAATTAATGTATCAAGTATCAAATATTTTTCAAATTTTCTAAAATTTTGCAAATTTGATTTATGCATTAAGAACTTTAAATTGAACGGTTGGATCGTTGAAATTTGATGTAGAACATGAGTTATTGAACAGAGTAAGTCTAGGTAGTCTTCCTCCTGAAGTAAAAGAATCTCTCCTCTCTCTCTAGATTATATTTATATATATATATATATATGTATTGTAAAATTTGTTAGGATTGTGATATCAAAGTATTATGCATACATATGTTTATTAAGACAACAAAATGATTGTCGCATGGAGTTGGTTGCTCATCAGTGAGCTCCAAACTCGCAAATGGCTGCAATCCCTTAAATTGAGAGTGAATGTGATAATGTGTTGATTGAGTCAAAGTGTTTTTAGATTAAAAATTTTAATTTATCAGTTTTATTTTATTTTAAATGCATTATTTTATGTTACCCATGTTCAGGAATATGTTGTTAATATGTGAGGTAGTTGCCTATTTTCTAGTTCATCAGTTGTAAAGCTAAGCCTATAAACACGACTCCTTTATTTTGTTTTTTGAGAACAGAATTACTTTTTCAATTCTTAGACTTTGTCTTTGTGCAATAACAATTGGTATCAAGGCTAGTTGGACATTAGTGAAAGGAAGCACTAGACTTCAATCATATTCATGATGAGCAGAGAGAATGGTCACACGACCTTTTCCGCTTTTATTAATTAAGTATATAAAAATACCCTTTTCTAATATAAAGATAATATTATTAGGGGAGCTTTTAAAAATATATATAATTATTGTTAGTGCAGTTTGTTGGGGTGTTTTTAATATGCGGGAGCATTCTATAACGAATACTGAATAAGTCACATAAGTGAGCTTGACATCATAATATAATCTAAAACCTTAAGACATTAGGTAGGTAGCTCTTTCTCACTTATATATTACTCAACATGTCTAACTCTAATCAACGTGGGACTTCACTTCACACTTGAACTCCAACACAGTTAGACATTGAAGTTAGATGATGATTATCTATATGCAAATTTAAATATGAATTATTAGAAAATTATTTATCTATTTAAGCTATTATTGGTAGTTTCATCACGTTCTCATACCTCCCAAGATCACTAAAAATGATCCATGCAAAATCTCATCGCCAAAATCATCGACCTCGAATCCCAGTTTGAATTCCAATAAAAAGAAAAAAATGGATTCCTGTTATACCACAATGCAAACGACCATGAATCTCTTACCACCATTATGACTACCTGTTCGATCATTTTCCTCATCCTACAACTACACCGTCAATAATTATGTCTTATTACTTTTTTTATTTTTTGAATCATTAATTTCATCAAAAACTAAAATTATCTTACTAAAAAAAATGGAACCATAAGATAAATATTTAAATATTATTCAATATTAATTATCACACTTTCTATTTAATATCACCTTATGCTTAACATTGCTATCTTAATATCAACAAACGGATATTAACTGTCAAACTAAAATTGCATATTTCACAATATTGAGTGACTAAAATCACGACTTTAAAATTGATTACTCTCACCTCAAAAAAAAAAAAAAAAAGTTGATTACTCAATATCATGTATAGATTATTATAAAAGGAACAAAATAACAATTTAAGAAGGTTTAAATATATTTTTAATCTCTCAATTTAAGACAAACTTATTTATGATCCCTCATATTTAAAATGGTTATTTTTAGTCCATATAATTTAGTCCCTCAAATTAGTAATAACATATCTAAAAATGACAAATTAAAACGGTTATGTAGATTTAATGTGATGTTTTCACAAACACTAATAAATAGATTTTATTCAATAATATTTAATAAATTTTTTAACAAAATTTAAATATAATAATTAAAATAAGATTTTTTTTAAAATTATAAAGACTAAAAACAACAATTTTAAATTTGAGGAATCAAAAATAAATTTATCTTAAATTTAAGGAATTAAAACCATATTTAAGTCATTTAAGAAATATAACTTTTATGTTTGTGTGTCCCTGATAAATTCGATCTCATTTTATTTATAACTTTCTTCGTTACTCAAATTTGTTGATCACAATACAAAACATGGGATGGAGTATAAGATGCGTTTTTCCATGTCGTGTCCAGTTTTGGTTCTCAAGAGGACCTACTCTACTTTTCTCTTTTTTGTTTAATTTCTAAACATTTGGAACAAGAATTCCAGTGAAAATGATGGGTATAAATTATGGCGCTTCTAGTCCAAGAGAAAAAAAATACCTACATAGCCCAATAAAATTACTCTAACTTTGATCAAGCTAAAATTGGTGAGCCCTTTTTATTTTCAATATGATCATGGTAAAATTGGTGAGCCATTTTTATTTTCAATGAGATCATGGAAAAATTGGTGAGCCCTTTTTATTTTCAACACGTTGCATGTTTATCTTCACCACAACCTGTAAAAGAGACCAATATTAATATTCGTGGCTTAAAAAGGCAAAACATGGGGGAAAGAGGGTTGAGCAAAAACTCAGCCAAATTGGTATATGAAAACAATAGTGAAAGATACCCATGGCCAGCAATCATCCAAGTAACAAATTGTGGAAAAGTGAACTTGAAAAACGCTTGAGCTACATGAATGCCAGGGTGCTTTATCTGCATATTTGCTACCTTCTGCTGAAGGACAAAGGTCAAAGTGTTGCAACATTTTTGTTTTGGCAAGTATATAAAATTAAAGATTCTAGAGATTTTAACGATTAAAAACTTAGATACAGTAACCTTGAATATTTTTCTGGTTATTCTCCTAATAAATTAAAATTTTACTTAGGAAAGCTATGATGAACTTTAATGTAAGCATTCATTATTTGGGTAGAACTTCAATTCTAATTGAAGAACATGCTTATAAGAAATTGCATCCAAGTTTTTTTTATATTTTAATTAAATGATATCAAAGGTGAAGAGAGAGAGGAACATACCGATAGTGGCCAAAATTTAAGGTCAATATAAGGTCGGTAGTTTACTAGCACTTTTGATGCCATCCTGCTAGCTGTATGTAACACCGTAACTCGTGGAATTCTTTTCTTCTCATATCTAACAAAAGATGAAGACGCAAAACTTCAATTATTTTGTTAGACTATATAGGCTTATAAGAATATCAGTTTAAGAGCCATGAATTTAGGTGACACTTTTAGGAGTTGTAAGAAAATGTGATGTTATTATTTTTTTTATCTCCTAGAACTACAATGACAATACCAAAGTTCGAATTTAAAATCCTTTGCATTCTATGTCAATCTTCACCACTAATCCGACCCTAGTGGTTCATATATGTTGATATTCTTTTCTTTCATTGGAGGGTCATGTGAAGTTATTCTTTAATGACACGTTTAGGTGGTCTCAAAATGGTAGTATTAGAGAACCTGTTAGATGAAAACTTTTCACAATAGAAGGAGAGCCATGTTTTCTGTTGAAGATAACAAATACAATATGGTCATGACACAAACAAAAAATCAAAACAGAAGAGAAGACAAATAAGATACCTTGTTAGATTTATGAGATTTTCCTTTATTTAAATTTTGTAATTTTAATTTAATATATATATACATATATTTATTTATTTAGTTATATAAAAATAATTAGTTAACATTATTTATTTAACAAAATGACCAAATTTAATATTTATTGTAAAAATTATTAAGATAATTACATGGTATAAAAATGAATAAACTTAATAAGTTATTGTAGAATTATTTTGTATTTTAATCTTTAAAAATTTTAAAATAAATCAAAATTTTAAATTAATAATTGTACTTTATTATTTAAAATTTTTGAATAAATTTATTTGATTCTAAGTTTTAAAATTAAGATTGGAAATTTCACACTATTAAAATTGAAATAAAATTTCGTGTTGAGCATAATTTAAATTTGAATTTTGAATAGGTATTTTAAATTTAAAATTGTTGAAAAAATAATGAAGAAAAATAGAAATCATTGTTAAAAAGGACTAAACTTACATACATAGTTAAAAAAATGTATAAAATAATTAATTGTTAGAAGTTATAGTTAATTATTGTTTTGTCTTTAGTATGCAAAATACCAACTATTGATAAATACCCATAAAAATACCAACAATGATGAAGATTCAAAAGAGAGGAATAATACAAACCTTACGGCCGTGGATCCGGAATTGATAAAGCCTAATTCTGTTTGCCTTCAAGAAATCGGATGTGGACTCTGGATACGGTTCAAGACACAAACAAACATTAGGCTTTTAAATTAAGTGTAAATTACATTTATATCCATTAAAGTTTTGGGAAATTGTATATATACTTTCTTGAATTGTTTAAAAAATAGTATATATATTAATTAAGTCACACATTACTGAAACCTATGTTATTTGTTTAATTATTTTAAAAATATGACATTATATCATTAATAATAAAAAATATGTACAATTTTTCAATAAATAAATTTGTCTCTTTCCATATGATGGTTTGGAGACACTTTTGCATGCACTAAAGAAGCCAATAAAACACAAAAAAAATGTAGTAGAAAAAAAATGAAAATGAGATTGAAAGAATGTACCAGAGCAACTCTTTAGGAGCATTAATTAGTGAGAAATTAATTTTTCTATAAAAATGAAGATGAACTGGTAGATGATCAAACTGCATAATCCCACAAATCTCAAAATGTTTACACAGTATGTTAACAATCCCTAATCTACACTAACACTCTATAATTCACAGATTTTCATCCAAAATCACAAACAAATCATACAAACAATAACCGGGAAAAAAACTGCAAAACTAACAAAATATCATTTTGAGTCCTTACATGCGATGAATTTGTAAGTAAAATAAAGTAAAAGGAAAAGCGTAACATGCGAATATATAATAGTTATGAAAATTAGATAATCCATTAAATATTTTTTTACAACTGCACATCATGAAAGGGATCGTATCATCCTCTACGAAAATATATGACAGAAAAATAGATAGGCAAAAAATAATTTTTTTTAATGAAATAAAGTGATGTAGCAAATTTAAAGTCACTTAGCGAAAATTGAAATAAATGAATGAGTGAATTTACTGACAAATGAAACAAAACGAAAGACTAAATGTGACTTCATGTGTCATGTGTATGAATGCACGTGTGAACCACAAATTGGCATGCACTTTAAAAAAAACTATTTCTTATAACATGGAAGCACCAAAAATAAATTTAAACAAAATAAAAACATTGTATGTGCTTTTATTATCACAAACACAGAGACAGAGGGATAAAAACCTTATGGTGGAAACGGTGCGTTTCATGTTTGAATCATCCTGGAATTGAAATAGTCAACTTTATAAACCACAAAGACGTACTTAAAAATAGAGATAGATTTCTATGTAGTGAGGCGGAGAAGAACACAAATTTCAGTGAAGTAACGCGTTCTTAATTAACGAATTAGGGTCTCATTCACGCTACTAAATTAATTCTTTCATTTTTTTTTTCTACTTTTAATTCGGTTGATATTTTCTATTATTTATTTGTCATATTAGAAGAATTTTAAATAAAAGTCACCATTAAGAATATGTTCATATGAAAAATGTGAAATATTCACACTTCATGGACTCATCACTTTACTTATCATATCACATCAGATCTCATGTCACTTGTTCACATTTCACATTTTTCATACTCATAATCACAAGGTCACATATAAGAGATTCACATCGTCATCATGCTCATAGGAAACACGTCACTTGCATTAACACAATAATAAGGCAGTTCTCACACCATTAGCACTTTCAAACATGGATAAATTTTAATGGAAATTTAATGATAGTTTTTCATCTTCAATTTTAATTTTAATTTGTCTGCAAGATCCAATTTTTCTATATTTTTCACAAAATATTTCCAACATACCTTCTAAGGGCTGAGATAACTTCAGACTCGTCAGACCCATGTTTAGTAACTTTGTCAAGCTCAAGTATCAGTTGGTAACAATCCTGAAAATGTGGTTGCAACAAAAGAGGGGAACTTAAGAAGATAAACCTACATATTTTCTTCCTTCTTTCTCTTCTATTGATTCAAATTAGCTGTGTGATACGTTTGGTTCCTTTGCTTGTTTTATTGCTGAACAGTATTACTACTTAGGTTTGGCTAAAGTTTAATAGATGAATGAAAGTGAAATTAATGCATATAAATAGAAAATTAACATTGAGTTTAATTTTCATACACTTTCGATATAAAAATTATACTATCAACCACTTAAAAATCATGCTAGATATGGCTTTATTTTTTTTTTTAAAAAGAGAATTACTTCCCGTACATGATAATATATAATTGGATGACAATTAAATTTTTTTTACACTGCATGAATTTAAATTAAATTCATGAATATTTTTGGTAAAAATTGATGCTTATCCATGAGTACTATATATATTAATGCTGCCAGGGGAATACTCAAGGAAATACACTTTACTTTCGAAGTTGAAAATGATAAATGACCAACCTCTATTGCCATACAACCCCCCTGACCAAGATTTGGTTGCATTGGATGTGCTGCATCACCTAACAAAGTCACTCTCCCAATTCCCCAAGTGTTGATCATGTCCCTGTCATATATATCCCTCTGCAGAATCATATGCTCGGGTGTTTCTGATATGAGTGCAATCACTTCATTGCACCAGTTACCAAAGAGATCCAAAAGCCTCTTCTTCTTACCTGCTGTAACTTGTACAGATGAATTTGTTTAAATTACTATTGAAGTTGATAAATACAGACACAGGGTAAGTATACCTTCAGGGAAAGGGTCACTTGAAGGGGGTTCACCATGGAAAGCATACCATTGCATCTTCCCATGGCCAACATCTGAAGCAACAAAGTACTGGTTCAACCCCAAGAACACCCTATACCTTCAAGTTTAATCACCAAATCAGGAGCTTAAATATTGGAACAGTTTATAACATTGTCCAAACATGTTATTAATGATTGAAGTATTACAAAACAGTTTTATACTAGCATCCAATTACAAACCACCATTTATGATAAGTTGTTGACTACCTTAATAAATAAGTACAAATTTATACTATTGATAATATTTGATTAATTGATAGTGTAAAATTGTGACACACTGTCAGTGCATCACCATTAAACTCTTACCCTATAGTATCAATATATGGGGGCATATAGTTTGTTAATCCACTGTAGCATGTGAAACCTGAGTACTTTGCTTCCTGCCACCCGAAGAGTTTTGATCGCACCTTAAAAGAAAACACAGAACAGATTGAATGGCAAAAGCAAAGAGAAGAAACTCATTTGTAAAAAAATCCCAGAAGGGAAGGATGGTATATTATACTTCTGACCATATTCCATCTGCCCCTATTAAAATATCACCATCATGGTGGTCTCCATTTTCCAGGATCACTCTAACCTGATAATGAAAAAAATCATTCAAAATTAGAAAACCACTCAGATAAACAAGTCTTAAGCAATCAGAGATTAGTTGTGCAGGAAAACACAAACCTTGCTAGGTTCTTGAATAAAATCCACAACTTTAGATTTGTTTCTAAGTATGTTGGAACCAACTGCTTTCACTAATATATCTTGCAGTGTCATTCTGCATATGACTAGAGTTACAGGAAGCCCTTTCCTCGAAGCAGGAGTCAAAAGATCAAACACACTGAACCTGAAGTGAAAATAAAGGGTGACAACCAAAACACAATTTTCTACCAAACCCCCAACCCAACACCTTTCCCAGATGATCATAAGAAATATACAGAAAATTGCAAAATCTAAGACCTCACAAAAGACTTCTTCAACTACAAGGCCTTCAGAAGGCTCAGTTAACATAACAACCAACAAGTCCCCATAATTAATGTCAGGTATAAGGTTTACAGTACAATTGTTTCTTTCAGTCATGTTCACATAGAAATTAGAGGGAGAAATGCTAGTAGCACACCCTCTAACCTACTCTTTTCATACACTCTCAATTACAGCACGAAATTTATTCAAAATTACAAATTTTTTTGTCTCACTTATTAACGAAACTCTATCCTGATTTATAGTTTTCAACAAGGACAACACTTAGATATAGTTCTTTAGATGTTTATAGTGTTCCTCTCTTGCTAGAATTGGAGTTTCGCATAGGTAACATGTGCAATCCTTTAGTTTAATATTACCTTTACAATGTTGATTACCAAGATGAAACTCCAATTCTAATTAAACAACAACATCAATTCCAATTTTATTGAAGTTTCATGTTATGCTTAAAGCAAAGAATATCAATTAGAGACAAAAAAAGGGGGGCATGCAAAACAAGATTAAGAAAAACATACCACTCCCCAGATAGACCATCAGCAAGGCCATTAGTCCTATTGCCAGTGACACAACCAGCCTCCATTATCTGCCCTGCAACACTCCGATCGATGGCTTCCAACACTGCAAGAGCACTGCTCAAGAGCTGAATTGGGCCACGGTGCCTACCTTCCCCTCTCACAGCACTCAAATCCTTCTCAAATACCTTCACTTCATACCCTCTTTTCTTTGCAGCCAGAGCCAACACAAGACCACCAATGCCCCCACCAGCCACCAACACTCTCAGCCTCTTTCTCCCTTCCTCTGAATTTGGCAGAACAATTCCACTCCCACCTTCAACTCTAATTGAATATCTTTTCTTGTTGATCCTGTCATGGGGGTATCTATATCCAATGGAAGAACCCTGACTAGTGCATGAACACAGGATATGCACAGAAGACATTGATCAATGATGATCGCAAAGAAGAAGCAAAAGCAGATACTTTTAATGACTTGTGTGAGTGGAATTTATAGTGACTTTGGCTGACCCACGTTGCAATTGTTCTAAAATCACGAGCGTGTTTGAATTACTCAATTTCTGAATTTCAAAATCACGGTTAACGTAATTTTACTTTCTTATAATTTTAACGTTGTAATTTTGACGTTGAACGGAACTAAACAAAAATACAAACATGCTGGTTAGCTGTGACTGTCTGACTGACATAGGGCGTTGTGCAACTGCCAGTGGTCTTTTTGGGGGTTGAGAATTGTTCTCATATTAATTTCTTTTTCTCATTACAAATACTTAATTTCTGTCGGATAGATGGACAATCTTACTTATAAGAGTGAGGGACACCAATAGGTAAACATCCCTTTCGTGGCAAGTTTTTCATTTCTAAGGGCATTATAATGATTCACATTCACTTTAAATAGGTTCTACTGTGTCACGTCATTCATAAATAATTCATACTTTATTTTTATAATTTTTGTTTAAATAGAAATTACTTATAAATATTTCTACTTTTTTATAACTCATACTATACTTTTTGACAACTCACATTATACTTTATGATAAATTTTTAAAAAATTAATTATTATGGATAATATATAAATATGAATAAAAAAAAAGAAATTACATAATAAAAAAATTACAATAAAATTAAATATAAAAATTAAAGTTACAACAAATTAAATTCAATTACAATAAAACTAGTCTAATTTGCATAAATTAAAATTAGAAAAATATTTATTCTCCTAATTTGCGTCTAATAAAATTACAAGTCAATTCATGATTTTTGAGTTGCTTCTCAGTCATTCCAGATGTGTCTTTTATGAGAATGTCATACATTATACTAAAGTTAGCTACCTCATTCACTTCAACCAATTTCTTTACTACAACACTTCTTTCTAACATTGTTTTTGTCATATTATCCAACTTTTTTTTGTCGGAAGATGTTTCGTCAATCTTTGCTTTACACTTTCTTTTCCCTGCTTTTTGACCTATTGGATGAGACATTGGTGTTGTTGGGTCATATTTTTGACAAACATTGACTGCATCTTTGTTAGAAGACGTTGAGTATTGCCTAGATTTAGAGATCTTTGATCTTTTAGAAGAGCTCTCCATTGATTCAAATTTCCATTTTGGCTCATCTCTTAATAATAGTCATGCATGCTCAAAATTGAAATTATCACCTACATCTTGTGAGTAAATTTTATATGCATTTGTCATGATGTCTTTTTCTGAGTTGCCACTTTTTTTTTATTTTATCATGAGCTTGTTTATAACATTCGACAAATAATTGAACTGCTTTATTAATTCGAAACCAACAAATTTTTAACTGACCTGGATTCCTTTCTGGAAATTGATTGCGATTGTTGTTGTAATTCTCTTTGATTCTTATCCAGAAACTATTTCCAGTTTGATCAACTCCCACAATTGGATCCTTCGAAATGTTGAGCCATGATTGAATAAGTATCGTCTTCGACAAAAAAGCTTACACGTGATTTTTTTTCAGTACATATTTCTTCTTCTTGTTGTCCTCCTACATCAAGTGTGATGTTCTCTAGCCCAACTTGAGACTCAGATATTGAACCAACTAGTGAATCTATTTCTCGATCTAATGACTCCACAACTTTTTCGAAAAATATTGGAGGCCTATAAAATATATTGGGATTGGTTGGTATTGGTGGTGGATACATAAAAAAATGGGAATTCGGAGAATTATCATTGGTTGAGTGTGGTGGTGGTGGGTATATAAAGAATTGAGGATTTTGAGAATTTTCACCAGAAGAGGGTAGAGGTGGTGGTTGGTTTTGTAAATAATTAAAATAACTTTGAAAATTATATTGATTGGGATCCAAGTACTAGAACACAAAAAAAATTTTACAAATGAACAAAAATAAAAATAGGAGAATTTTTTTCCGAATGAACAGTGAACGTGAATAGTGAATTTATTGAAGTGAATAGTGACCGTGAACAGTAAATTTGAAGTGAACTGAACAGTGAACGTCAATTTATAAACACAGCACCATTCAACATTCAAATTTCTTCCAACGTCTCTCCCAACATCTCTCAACGGCCACTTTTCAACGTCTTTTTTTTTCCGGAGGTTTCTTTTGTTCATTCTCTCAACGTCTCACTTTATCAACGTCTACTTTCCCTTCTCTCTCAACATGTCTCACTTTCCCTTCTCTTTCTTGTTCCCTGCGTCTCTCACCCCCACCCTCACCCATCACCCATCACCGCCACCCTCACCATCAACGTTTGCCCAGAGGAGCGCCTAGCTGACGAGATCGGCCGGCCTGACGTCCGCGCGCGCGACTGGGGAGATCGGGCGCCTAAGACGTGGTTGAGGAGATTGGCCCGCCATGGACCTCCGCGCGTGATCGAAGGGATCGGCCCAACCAAAAGGTGCGCGTGCGGTAGAGGAGATCGGGTGCCCCAAACGTGCATGCACGCGGCTAACGAGATCGGCCCTGGCCTAGACGTCGCGCGCGACTAAGGAGATCGGCCCGACCTGGATGTCTGTGCGCTGCTAAGGAGATTGGCCCGGTTAGGAGGTCCGTGCATGGTTGAGGAGATCCACGCCGCCTGGAGGTGCGCACACGACTAAGGACATGGACGCCAACCTGGAAAACCCCGTGCTTGGCTGAGGCGATCGACTCCGCCCCGGAGGTTCGCACGTGCACTTGGTCCGCGAGTTGGACGACAGACCCCTAGAGGTCTACATCGACCGGTCGCGGCCCCAACTGGCCGAGAAGGAGAGCGAGCGGAGGGAGTTGGTCGAGTGGGAGAAGCGGGATGAACGACCCATCTGTTGTTGTTTGCAAAATCTATGTCCACGTTCCACCTTGGATCCGGATGAACCAATCAAACCTCTCCATTTCACATTTCATAGTGTTAAGCACCGTTCCTTCTTTAAGCAACGTAGCTAAAAAATTGGATCTTCTCTTGCCACGTAGGATCACTCCATTGAGAATTTCTTGTAAGCATCGTTGCTTATTTTTAAGATACAGTATAAGCACTCCTGCTGGAGGTGCTCTAAGAATCAAAATTCAAAACTTGATTACTTAGTTAAATAAAGTAAGTCTTTCACCACTCACGTAAACTCAAGTCACATATTTGTTAGTCAAATAGCCTCGTATAACTTAAGAGGGGGGTGAATTAAGTTTTCTAAATTTTTCTCTTATAAAACTTTTTCGAATTACTTTCTTACAAATTCAATTCCTTAGATAAATTTATATGTAAAGAATGAATGATGATGCAAACTACTCAATCACAACTAATAACAAGTAATTAAAAAGTGTAGGAAAAGAAGAATAAAAAAGAATTGCAAACTCAATTTATATTGGTTCGGCCAATCCCGCCTACATCTAGTCCTCAAGTCTCCCACTTGAGATTTCCACTATTCTTGTAACTCTTACAAGACTTGAATCCTCCAACACCTTGGAACTCGCTTTCCTTGTGTTGAGATTCAAAAACCAACAAGGAGAAAAACTCTTTCTCCTTTACATATCAAATGATCAATTGAGTATAATGTAGTAACTCTCTTTGAAGAATAGATTTTACACTTTGATGATCTTAAAGAACTCTTTAGAGATTTTGCAAATGACTTTAGCCAAGGAGTTTTTGTAATAGATTTACATTTGAGTTCGTAACCTTCTTCTGAAAAATTATATGTATTTATAGACAATTATTTATTGGGTTGTGTCTTTTCATGAAAAGTTATAACTCTTTATAATTTTTCAAAAAAGATACTCTGGTAATCGATTACAAGACTTGGTAATCAATTACAACGGTTTATAAGTTCAAAATGTTTGAAACGTTGTATCATTTAAATTCAAATTTTGAAGTTTCATCTTCTAGTAATCGATTACCAGAACACATTTTGTATTCAGAATATGAACTTTGAAGTTTCCTTGTTCTGGTAATGGATTACAAGGTCTGGTAATGGATTACCATAACATATTTTTGCATTGTTTCAAAAAAATTTATGTAGAAAACTTCATATCAATAATTTCTTTCACAAATCTCTTTTAAGAAATGATTTGAACTATTCTTTAAAGCTTTTGTTAAGTCTTTCAAAAAAAATTTACTTACTTTCAAAAGATATAAAACTTGCTTAAATTTAAAGAGATTAATTTGAGATTTTTGAAAACTTATTCTCAAGGCCAAGCATACTTGCAATTCTAAAAGATTCTTTTACATACTTAGCTAAGTTGACAAGACTTATCTATTTAACACTTGAGATCTTGTTCTTGCATCAACTTTCTTTAGCTCAACCTTGATTCTTCTTCAATGCTTTTATAATCACTTTGGCATCATCAAAACATTTGTGCATATTTTCTTCCACAATATTAATTAGTTTAGTTTAAATTCTTTATAATAAATTGGTATTATCGAGAGTGTTAACTAGCTGTAAACCACCATCATCCTTTGATTCTCCAAAATCCTTTAAAAAAAAAAGAAATATACATTAAAAAACAAGAGGAATTCATTTATTTTAAGAATTAAATCCTAAAGTCGTTTCACTCAATTACTCAATATTACATTAAATTTCAATAATCCAATGAATTAAAAGTTTTTAATGCATAAATTAAGTCTATATTAAATTTAAAAACTATTTTATATTGAGTTTCATTAATTCGAATTGACAGATAATAGAAAAAATATTTTATACTGCTCACATCACTAATCGAAGGATTGACTCATCCTATCGAGGCAAGCGTTGTTGTCCACTCACCACTGTTCGATCTACCTTCGAAGGCTCTTTATCCCCCTTGTGGCTACAGCTGCTCGGGTCATGAAACCCATGTTCACGACATACATCGAATCCGGAAGAACAATTTGCACACACATTCCACGAAAATCATTATTGTACATGGCTAACATGAACCACTGCACTACTTTCAAATCCCCCAAATCTTTATATTAAGAACTTTTTTGTTCAATGATTATATTATTGAAATTTGATAGTGAACATAAGTTAGTAAATGAAATAAGTCTACCAAGTCTTACTCTTGGAGTAAGTAGATCCCTCATTAAAAAATAGGTGTAATTATGTTTTTGATTTTTAGTACTATAATTGTGCAGTTTTAGTTTCTTAAGTATTATAATTGTGCATTTTTGGTTTTTCAAATTTTAATTAAACAATTTTAGTCTCTCAAGTATCACAATTATATGATTTTAATCGTTCATATATCATAATTATGTAACTCTTGACTTATTTAAGTTACATATATTATAATTTTCATTCGTATGTCAAATGATATATACTTATTATTATCAAAATTATTATATGCGTAACTTAAATAAATATAAATTTATATAATTATGATATTTGAGAGACTTAAATCACATAATTACAATATTTGAAAGATTATAATTACTCAATTAAAATTTAAAAGAACAAAATTACACAATTACGATACTAGAGAAAATAAAATTATCCAATTAAAATTTTCGAGATTAAAAATGCACAATTACAATATTAATTTTTTTATTTTTAATATACCGCTCATTTTTTATGTTATAAAATGTATATATTATGTTTTTTAATTATATAAAAATTATTATTATTATTATATATATATAACATTTATAAATTTTCTTAACATTATCTTATTTTTAAAATAATAATTTTTAAATTTTAGTTACCATATTTAAAATAAATGGATAAATACAGATGTTTTATTTTGAATATCTTATAATTTTTTTTTCCGGCAGGTTAAAATAAAAATATTTACTATTCAATTTTATTATAATTTTTTTAGAATAATGTTTTAATTATTATGATATATATATATTTATTTAAAATTGTTAAAATTTCAAATATTTAACATAAGTAATTATATTAAATTATTTTAAATATATTATGAAAGTGTAAAATAAAGAGAAAAAAACTCTAAAAAAATCCGGAAAAAAATAAAAATAATTACAATAGATAAAAATCTGCACAGACCTTATCTTTTAAAGATAAGGCTTATCTCCTACTAACTAAAGAGTTAATGCTTAGTTATATTCTAACTAAGTTTAAAATAAATAGATAAATAAAAGTAAAAATAAAAAATCTAATCTATATATAGGATGAGGGAGGGGGACCATCAGAAGGTAAAAACAAAGATAAAAAGAGAGAGTGGGAACGTGAAGGAAGAGAAAGAAAGAGTAAGAAGAAGATAAATGAGGAAAAAAGAATTCTTGTAGGCAGTTTTAAATTTTTTCTAAAATAATTCTACTTTTCTATTAAGGTATGGGGAAGACTTTTATCTCTTTTAAATTTTTATTTCATATATGTTTATATTTATTTTATGTTGTCTATATTTAATAATAGTGAAGTATCTCTAACCTCATTTACTTGCTTAATTTATGATACTTTTTACTCTAAATAATTAACAAGGTGTTGCTAGTTTATGTTATTTAATTCTTTTATGATATTTATCACTGTCATTTACTTGATTAATATTTTTTAAGATATTTCATTTACGTAAACTATATTATAAATTTAAAATAATTAAAAATGCTCAAACTTATTTAGCTTAATTATTTTTATATTAATATTAACTATAATATAATTTTGTTAAAATATCCTAAGTTCATCTTGTTGTTATTTCTTCATACGCAATATAAAGATAAATGTTATTCTATGACCGTAAGAAATAAAGTTTGAATTAATTTGTAGTCGAAAGTTTGACTTTGGGGATTGAAATGAATAAGGACTTAAGATGAAATATTCTTTTGTTGGTTGATATTATTATACTCATTTATCCTGATTAGTCACTACTAAAATAAATTCAAATTTTAATATAACATAAAAATCTAAAATATATATTCATATATATATATATATATATATAATATTGGTGCATTAGAGATAGTTAGGCAGATCAATCTAGCAAGCCAACTTACCCTATTTTCAATTTGTTGGGTTGATAGGTGAGGCAAGATGAGTTGGTGATTTAAATTAGTTAATTTATTCACTTTTTTTTGCAGGTCATTTGAGTTAATCCGACATATTTAAACTTAACTCATTTTTTTTCAATTTTTTATGCAAACTTTATTACTCATTTTGTCATTTTAGTAATAAAACAATAAGCATTTACTAACCAACTAATTTGGCATGAAGCATTTACTAACCAATAACTAAGAACTAAGAACAAGAAGCATTTTGGTTGGTGGTTTGTCATTTTGTCATTTTGATGCAAACTTATCACATGGGTGCTTATACTATAAATTCGAACTTTACCCCATCAATCGATAGAAAGTTTGGCATATATGACTTTAAAAAAGTATTATAAAAATCAATAAATTTATTAAAAAATTATTTGTGATAAGATCACGATGTAATTTGCTTTTATAATATATATTGGTAGATAGACCATTTTTTTTTATCATAAATTAAATCTTAAAAATTATTCAAACATTAACATTTTGATAAGTTACAGTAAAATATATTAAAATGAGTTAAATTAGATTTATGATAATCATAAACCATTTTCATAAAATTAAATAAGTTCCAATAAAATCCTGAAACTCAGTATGTAGAAAGTTTTATGATCGATTCATTGGAACCTTGTTAAATGGAAGTTAGTTTAATCCCTCAAAGTTAATTTATAAATGGAAGTTGTCCCTACTTATATTATATACACTATTTTAATCATATCATTAGTTAATGTAAGATCTTTAACATTTATCTGAGTAGTATAATATAATAAGTGACCCAATAAATCTAATTATAATCTCTAAGATATTCTAATATATCTTAAAATGTGGATTTAAATTTAATTCTAAAGCATCAATTTGTAAAGTAAAAATTATTCTTATTTATATACATTATTTTAATCATATTACTAGTTAATGTAAGATTTGTATCAATTGGTGCTCCCAATTAAATATCTTATTTATCCATTGTTATTCAAAACTTTAGTACCTAAACCTATGTGGATAAACATCTTAATTGAGTACTTTAATAAGTGTTCAACGTAAAGTACTTGTATATAAATTGTTTAACCACAAGATTGGGCTACTAGTGGGAAAGTGAAGTAATATATGCAGGCTGATTCTTAGGTTCAAATTACGTTCGTTATTGTAATTTTTAATGAATAAAGAAAATATTTATATAACAAAAATCTGGAATACTTTTCGTAATTAGTTTCACCGGAAAGTGGAGAGCACGTAAGAAAGAATTTAGCAACACAAATATAAATGGAAAAGCAACAACCCATTCCACCATGGTACTGGATTATATTGCTCCAAGGTAGGGCCCAGTAACGAATTGAGGATTGAATAGACAAGTAGAATAGAACACAATTATTGATGGCCAAAACTACAGGAACAGAATTATTGAGCAAAAAGATAAACGCAAGCATGAGATAATTCTTATCTGCCTGAAGAACTTCATACAGAAATTTTTTTTTTTTTTTTTTTTTAAATTAGCTTTAACTTTCGAGCATTTGTTTAGGTTCATTGGGATAATGACACGAATTGAAAATAGACAAACTCGGTGATTATCTAACTCCCCCATACAAAGGTCATGGGACTTTTGCGCCAAACACGTGGTGCCAACGCAAACATATATCAAAGTTTACAGAACACTTAATTTAAACAAACAATGATATAAATAGATAAAGATATTTTGTGAAATTTAATCCTAGACGTTCTGTTCTGAGGCAGATAATAGGAATCCAAACGTTAATATAGTTTTAATGCAATAATGACAATGACCATGTTCATTGGCTGTATACGGATCCAAAAACTGAAGATCCTGCCCTTTAAAATAAGTCACTTTAGAGTAAAGTAAATAGTCTAAATTGGTATTGAAAAATTAATAATTAATATTATATACACATGCATAACAAATCACTTGTTAAAATATCAACCATTAATTTTCTCTTTAATGACTAATATGCCAAGTGTCACCCTAGTCCTAAGAAAAGAACGTCACTTTTCACATTAGGATCCATAGGTCAATTAGAAACAAACATGAAAAATAGTTACTCAAGGATGTGCAAAGTTGAAAAGTGGACACCAAATTGACACATCAAATACAAGAATTTATACACTACCACACATTAATCACTAATGAGAGAATTATACAAGTATCAGCTGGTCCTAGGTCAACTTTCAAACTGAAATAAATAATTATTACCAAACTACAATATTTGCCATCCTAGATAATGCCTAATTCACAAGAACCATGCCTACGGCTATAAACTGTTAGAGGGTAATAATCTTTATGTCATAATACAAGAGAAATACACCCTTTTCCAGAATTATGCTACCATAATGCCTCCTCTGCTCATTGTGTACAACAGGTACTCCTCGATCATCACTCTCGATCCATTGATTGAGCATGTGAGAAATGGTGGCCAGCCCCATCTGTATAAACAATAAAAACATCAAATTTGGTTTGCTAACAGATAACTGGGTTCAGAATGGCTGACTCAGTTTAATTTGAATAGCACAGAATGTGGTAAAATGCTTTATCATGTTTTATTGACATTACTTCTATGAATAATTGGAAGCAGCAACCATCCTTAGAAACATCGATGCTGCAAATAGGTGGACGTCTGTGTATCAGCCCCGTATTCAAACCCAACATTAACATGATTGTGTATTACCAAAATGGTGGAAATAATTGTTTGTAGTATGCCATACTTTAATTTCCACCCCACATCATACTTGTATCTCATTTCATTTCATATCCTCGCTTCATAACTTCATTATCATTGAGCCATGCTTGTTTTAGATGCCATACGGGAAGGAGAATATTTGAAATGAAAATAACCACTGATGTTGAACAATTGAAGGAAAAGTGAAATTCATCTACTGGTCCAGCTTCTAATTTTGAGTACTCCTATATAACAGTGAAACTAAAAACCTTTACAAATCGCACTACATTTTAACTGGCCTTCCTATTTTCGTGATATGACCTATGATGCATCGGATCATGGTTCATGGCCACTGGAAGCTACAGGTGAGGCACACATCTTGCCATCATGACAAAAGTGGACAGAATCTTGTCAACAAAAAGCAGCCGTTGCAGCCACTACAATAAATGGGCAAGGTATATGCCCTCTGATAGGATAAACTACACAGCCCAGACATTTTTTGTTAACAAAACCCATCTTCCCTTTTCCCAGCCAGGCCTGGCCAATTCACCCTGGGGCTGTTCAGCTCTGATTTGACAGCAGCTTCTTGAAAAAACTTTCTGTTACTTTTTAAAGTGCTCATCAGGTTCCCAAATGTGGTCAATCTTGTTTATTAAAATTTTGCTTGAAGCTAAACTTTTAATTCAAAGAAATAGGGATAAAGCCCAATTACAGAGGTCAGAATCACACAAAACAATAGAACAAAAGACTACAGAACTTTGAAGGTCTGAAAACCTCTGCCCAAAGGCCTCAAAACGCACTAATCACTGGATGGATGTTCTCCCCCTACCTTTCCAACTTCTCCATTTTGTTTTTGCTTTTATTCTAACATTTCCCCTTCTTCCCATTCTCCTTGCAATATAACCAAAGTTGTTACAACCCCAAATCACACTTCTGCCCTTTACTCATAATTACAAACATGATCTATACAGGAACACCCACATTATTTTTTTTTATTGAAAATGTATTCAACAATGGAAAGGCAGCATTGTCCTTTCTTATGGAAATTCACATCACTATCCTTTAGTGATACTCTCACGTTTGGTATTGGTCTTTTGGGGGGAACCGTTTTTTCTTTACTTCAAAAACTCTCTTACTAAGCTTGAAATAAAAAATTATTTCATCAAAATAAGTTGATCTAAACAGGCACTTATTTGGATATGATAACATGATTTTTTTTCTGAGTATTGAGAATTCATATTGTTGTTCATTAGTTTATGTTACTAAATTTATAAACTACTAGCATTATTGTGTATGGTAATTTATAAACTTTTGGACCATCCTTTATTGATTAGGGGGCGGGGGGGTGTGGATGGGAACATTTTTCCTTTTCTTAAAAAAATTATTATATCATCAAAATAAGTTGATCTAAACAGGCACTTATTTGATGGATTAAAAAAAATTAGATGAATCAAAAAACAGGCACTAATATGGATATGATAACAAGAATTTTTTTGAGTAATGAGAGTTCAATATTTTAGTTCATTAGTTTATGGTACTAAATTTATAAGCTATTTGGATTATTTTGTTTAGCACATTTTTACTACTTCACACCACTGTCTGCAATTAATTACTACCATTTACAGTGTTTGGAAAAGCTGTGATAAATTAGATTATTTCAATACTGGATTATTGCTATAATTGATTATAATCAAAATGAAATTTTATTTGGGTAAGTTTGTTGACAAACAATTTTAAGATATTTAATTTCGTTTGGATACAACAACAAAACAAGTTTTTATGTAGTAAATTAGCTTAAAAGGAAAAAAACTGTTAAAAAATAATTATAAGCTTCAAATTTTCAGCTTAACCAGAACAGTTTATTTTTCAAGAAAAAAAAATAAGTTGATCCAAATTCAAGTTGTCCCAAATTTTGTTTTCAGCAAACAAATTTTTTTTTTCCAAAAAAAAAATCAGCTGAATTGGGAGATTATAATCACTCTGAAACAAACTCTAGAAGGCTATTTAGGAAAAGAAAAAAATCAGAAATACTGCAATAAGGGGTACAGAAACTGAGATGTACCGCTTTCACCATCAGAAAGATCGTTAAGTCTTGCAATTGCATCAATAAGAGCCTGCTCGTGATCCTGCATTGAATGAAATTTAGATCAGGCATACATGCACCATTTGCAAGAAAATCAAATAAGTCAATAGCTTTAAGTACATATAATGGCAGAGAAAATATAATTATTTGTCTTGTCTCCTCACCTTCAATACTTTCTTTGCTTTCTCAATTTCAAGGGGATCAGGGTGATTTGCACTGAATACCCTCTCCACCTGTCAAGTCCATCAGAAACTTAAATATATGAAATAAAGGATTGAAGGGAACTAATAAATAAATCAGATGAGCAGTCATGTATTTTAAAATGTGATAGAAAATAACTTATTCTATATTAACTGTTCTGTATTAGAATCAGAAACTGCCTCTTTGAAGTTATTCATAGAAAACAATTGCTGGCAGTTATTTATTAGCGTATGTTTGTAATCAGGCAGAAGGTGTTGCATTGTGCTCGGCATTATATTTTATTGCTTTATCAATTGAAGCTCTATGACAGTCCAAACTATCTCAAACAAAGAATATTCGGATTGAACTATTTTCCATTACCTCTTTGATTAGTGTGTCTGTGTGAAGTATTTGTATATCATCAGGCGCCTTCTTTCCTATGCCATTCTGTGATGACAAAAAATCTTTTCTGGATTGCCCCTTTGTAGCTCCTCTACCTCTTCCAGCTCCAGGAACACCATCACGTCCTACAGACCTATTCATCCCATGACCAGAGCCTCCAAAACCCCCACGATGATTGATTCCAGGATCCTCACCTACCCACTGAATATCTTCGGGAGATATCTGCAGTTAAAATACTGCATCTGAATTAGCAAAAGCAATATATTATTAACAAGTGTTGAACATATAGCAAGGGAATAATTTTTAAAACCATATTCTAGATGTTATTAAACATTCCAGATAGGCGTATGAAGATCAAGTCTTCCACCCTAGGAAGATCAAAATACCACAATCAGGGATTAAATGAAAGTTTAAACAAGTCAAAATGTTCTTTGTTTCACTAGGGGTTTCTATTCATGCAATATCAGTGGTTGCACTAATCCAGTATTGAGAGAAACCTAAGTCTCACATCAATTACAGATAAAGCCAACAAAGAATATATATTAGTAGAGGACAACCATCACTTTACAAGCTAAATTTATAAAGTTGAGATAGACTAAAATGGTATCAAAGTCTATCCTAGATCATTAAAAAAGTTCATCCACCATTTATCCATGCACTAGACCCAATAGTGTTTTGCATAAGTAGGTGTATTGAAAAAAAACCTAAATCCCACATTAACAATATATAAGGTCAACAAAGTATCCTCACCTTACATAATGATTTTATAGGGTTGAGTTAGGTTCAAATCTACATTTTAAATTCAAGTATGCTGAATAAAAATTACATACTTAATTCGAAGGTTAAAATAGTATACAAAGACAGCACTAAAACTATTTAGTGGTACTTGTTTGAAAATGACAAAAAAATGAACACAAGAGGAAGGGCTGAAAATATTCAGCACCTAAAGTTCCTGACTGTACTCAGCATTAGTACATTCCTGTTACCGATTCATTATATTAACAGCTCATAATTTCCTTTAAATACAATTTCAACATTTAAAATGGAAATCTTTCTAAAGATATTCAAAATTTGGAGCTTAATTAATATGTTTTCCCCATATTCAGCAATGAATAGGTAATTCAGACATGTACGTGAATGAATGAGTGGAAACCCTTATTTCATGTCTGAGTGCAAGGAATTCCCTAGATTACCCCTTTAATGGCTAAAGCACAGCTGGAAGCCCTAAAATATGTTTTAAGTCTCTATCTTAGCTTATTTTGAATTGATGGAAAGAAATGAAATGAAGCAATGTCAAATGGTATAAAATGATGTTGGTTGTCATTGTTAAAAATAGAATGAAATGTTATGGAACCAAATGGAGTGTACTGCATTTCACTCCATCCAATTCTATTTTTCTTCCTCCCAACTTCAGGGTAAGGGATGGTATAATAATAATAATAATAATAATAATAATAATAATAGTAGTAGTAATAATTATGGATTAGCATTTCATCCACTTCCTAAACAATGAAATAGAAATTTCACTCCACTCTATCATAAACTATCCAAACAATGGTATAGCAATTTTGGCCCATTCTATTCCACCAATTATAAGATATCCACAGTCCAAACATAGCTAGGTTTTTCGCAAATCTTCTAATATACAGTGCAGCCAATCTCTAATTTTGCTCTCTACTTGGGGTTTTTGTTAAGTTTTCAACCTGGTTTAGCCAACTACCATTTTTGTACTCTTTATTCTTTAAAAGTTTAAACTATACAGTATATAGGACCATGTAGCAGCCACAATAAGAGAATAAAAATACTTTAAAAATAGGTTTAAAAACAACAAAATTTTGGACATAAAACAAAAAATAAAATAACACTGCAATTTAACATTTAAGTAGCATTCATCATTCATCTTAGATCAAGTGTTGTAAATAACACAAAAAATTACCAACAACAAATGTTAAAAGAATAATAACCAATAGACAGATAAAATGAGTTATTTATTGCCAAAAGAAGGACAATGACATCAATTACAAAAAGGATACAAGGGCAGTGATCTGAATTATCAAAGGATGGTGATGATGCCTTTTTTTGGTCAGGAATATCTTTCCATTTTTTAATTTTAATCAATTTTCAAAGAACAAAAAACTCTATGAAAGGAGAAAAACACATACATTGCAAAGGACACAAAATTGGGTATCAGACAAAAAGCACAACAGAGGTATGAGTGTCCACAAAAGACAGTTGTACAGACTGCAGCATAGAGAATAAATTTTTTAGACAACACTTTTGATACCATCCAAATAGATTGAGGGTTCTCCAATATATGGGCTAGAGAGAAAAAGAAGCAGCAGCCTCAAAGGTGAAACTGGACCAGATCTAACCACCTGCCTGCAGATGAATCCTTATGCATCACAGCCACAACCCCCACCCATATGACCTGCCATTACCAGTGCTGCTAAAAACCATGACAGAGCTTTTGGAAGTGGCTACCACTCACTCCGCCACACACAGAAAGATTGCCGAAAAACTTTGCCAATGCCATTACAGACTACTCTGATTTCATATCGGCATAAAAAATACCTCTATTTTGCAAGGTCCACCCATTCTTTTTCAAGCCCTACCCATAGTTTCCCTTTGTTATTTTAGTCTTAATAACAAAGACATGCCAAGTTTTGTGTACCAACAACAATCTTCAGGATAGCTATATAGCATTTTTTTGGGTCACTAACTACCTAGTAAAAATGGATACTTCTAGATCATAAAGTCTTATGCTCAATATTTGGATATGGCAGAAAAAAGGACATATCAAGGAGTCATAGATACTAAAGAAATTGATGGGATCGTGCTTTAATTTAAAAATGACCAACATAAGAAATTTGGAAGATTAAAAAATTATAAACTCCCACTTTCCTTGGTAATAATATAATATTATATAGTACATACCCCAGACAATAAAACTTTTTTGCAACTCTAGTTAAAAATTAAAAATAGTAAACAACAAAGAGTATTAAACCATATTCTAAATCAAGGTCTTTTATTTTCTTTTTCAATTCCCATGTTCCCAACTATCATAATAGACTATTTAAGTATTATTGAACATCAAATCAAATATCAATTTTGAATTCATTGATTGCAAACTCAAAGAGACAAAATAAGTAGTTTGCTATCATGAGGAGACATCAAGGAACAAAATCATGAACAGATTATTAACACAGGGAAACAATATCAGCACTTTTTTGCGAGAGAGAAGTCAATAGCAGCAGCCTCATTTTTCTTACTTTCTCAATTCCATTTTAGACATGGATGTTTACAACCACAGTTTACTAAAGACAATTACTGTAAAATATGAGAGAATTATTCCAAGATCCCACTGCAGGAGACAGGATAAAGCACCAGATGTACCTCTGATAGATTAACCCATTCCCATGTTTCATTTGTACTCCCCATGTCATAGACCAGATTATGTCGTCCCTGAAAAGTTTGGAACAGAAGTAAACAATTAAGCAACATATTGAAGGAAAACAAATTCCAAAATATTTCAGGGCTGTAAATACATCAGCTTGATTGTAGTCCGTGATAACAGCTTCATAAAAGTTATTGTCATCAGGCCATCTTGTCCGTACTCTCCTACCAATCAATGAATCAAACGATGCTCCCTCAGCATGCTCACCCATGACAGCTCTATTAGGTACTTGACTCCTTCCACCTGGTCCCGAGGATGGATACTGCTTCATTGAAGAGACACCAGGTAATATTTGACCCTGCAAATGAAAGAACAAAACACAATAATGTTGCCAAACCTTAACTAGGTGACCATATGTACAAAGAAAAGAAGGACACACTAAAGTGTGTGTGTGTGTATATATATAACCCACTCACAGGTTTGTGCTTCTTTCCTTTAGACCCAGGAACAGATCCCCGTTTCGCTGCAGAAGAAGATGGTTGATGGGGTGCAGTCACTGTTTGGGGGTGAAATGGAGGAGAAGGCCCACCAAAAGATCGTGATGGTGGTACAGACGGCGTAATCTTCTGCTTTTTGCGAGATGCAGAGACCGTGGGACTGGGAATTGAATCATGAAGACCTTGACCAGTACTAAGTACACCAGGCTGATGTCCACCTGCCTGTCTCCATTCCCTGATGTCATTGTCCAGCAAAACATTTATTAACAACAAAATAACAGTGCACACGTGGAAATTCATGACAAACTCATTTTGAAAGCATAGATGTAGACCAACAAAAGGCTTACTTCACTATTTTAACATACCTTATCCTCCGTATCACATCATCTGCATTAACCCGACCTAAAAGTTCTCGGTGTTCCTCATTTGACAATCTCAGTTCTTTTCTCAGCTCCGTAATCAAGCTTTCTTTCTCCTGAAGAAAATCATATCATGGAGCAGACATTTAAACTCAATAAAAAATTTAAAAACATCTGACTCAAAGAAACAAACTAATAAAATATACCCAAGTAATGGCATCGGATTGAGCTTTAAAGGCTCTTAGAACTGAACTGTATGCTTCTTGCTCAAGTTGATGAATCTGGGCCTCCATATCAATTTCACCATACATTCTTGGGTACGGAATTGACCCAACAGCAGATCTTCCATTCCCAGCTAGGCGTCCTCCTCCTCCCCTGGGAATTCTATTTTGATGGGTTGGTGGAAGATCATCATCAGTACCTGCAATCATTTTATTCAAGTCAAGAGACAAAACAACCAAGTCCAAATCTCAAACCCATGATGCAAATAACCCCCATATTTTTCAGCACTGGCAAAAAATTAAACTCATGCACAGGAAACACATTGCAACTAATACTTCTCTGCGCAAGGAGTCGCAGTAGTAGCTACATAACAAACCCAGCATAACAATCAACTACAAGCTTTTGCTTTGCTTGGCTGAAAACAATTAATACTAAAAGTCACCAGCTCCTCACCATGTTCGAATTAATCCAATGCATTAATGGAAGCATTTGACCATTAATAAAAGCACCCATACAGCTAATCATTCTGAACTTGAATTCAAAGTTGGTCAATGTCACAGTAAATCATTCAAAAGAACAGAGTGAAAAAGAGACATTCAAGGATCTTGAATGCATAAAGCATGCAATTAAAAGCTGCTAAAACTTCAAATCATACTGTTTTCCTTCTAAATTAAAACCCCCCTATTCACCCCCAAAATTTTAGGTCAACCAGCAAACGAGCATGAACAAAAATTCACCAAACTTACCCAGCAGCGATTAATCGAAAACCAAAGAAAAAAAGAAAAGCAGCCAATAATTGGGAAACGAATCAATAGCGGTAGCTGTTGTTTCATTATTTTTTCCGAACGAGTTTGGATTCGGAAGAAAAAGAAATGAAAACTTGACAGATTGAAGAAAAAAATAAAAAGAAGAGAGAGAAACCCTAACCCTAGAAGGAGAAGAGAGTAGAGAGCTTACCGCTACTGTCGTAGGGTTCGTAGTCCATAGCCAGTTTGCAGATCCACGCAATGAAATTATGAACGAATGAGTTTGCAGAACACAACACAACAAACAAAGCCAAAAAAAAGGTTAGGTTTGTGGGTCGGAGAGAATGAATGAGTATGAGATCGCGGCGAGTCAACTCGGACTCGGACTCCGACTCCGACTCGGACACTCAGCCACCGTCACAACGCAAAATTACAAAATACCCTCCAACTTTCTATCCCTAATTCGCTTTTTCTTCGCTTTCTCTATAACATATATTTTTTTAAAAAAAATAATAATAAAATTACAACAATAGAGCTGTTCTTCGAATTGGATTGGATGAAAACATCCGTTCAATCTTATCATTTTTGTTACTTTACCGTTAATTTGTTTTTATTGTACTTTTTCATTTTTTTATCTATTTAATTTGTTTTTAAATATAAATATATCACATCCAATTTAACCTAAAATAATATAAGTTCAATTATTTTTCACTAGTGAAAAAGAAAATATGTGACTCCGTTAAAAAAAGAAAAATAACAAATTTATTTTGATAATTTATTAAGGTATTAGATATATCATGTGTAGTGATTTTTAACTATGGAAGAAAATTGGTATAATTGTTCTTTTAATTTGCTAACTTCTCGGCATTAGTTATCCTCTGATCTTGTAGTTTGAAATTTATGTAAATTGTCATGTTTAATTTTTATCGATACATGCGGTTAAAGAGAAATTATTGACAAAAGGGATAATTTTTATATAACTCATTCTTTTATAAGATGTAGAGAAATTTTGATTATATTTGAAAAAAATTAAATTATTTTTTATTGAAGGAGTATAAACATATATGTTGATGTACATTTATGCATAGATCATAAATTTATAATAAAAAATAAATATATAAAAAATATTTTAAATATTAATAGTTTATTTTTATTTTATAATTTTTTTTAATATTTTTAATAATATATACATTTAATAATATATACATATATATATATATATATTAATTTTTATTATATTATATAAATATATCTATTATGTCTAATAAGTTTTTTTATAAGTCTAACTTGACCTTTTTATTAAACAGGTCGGGCCAGATTAAGTTTTAAAGAGGTTAAACCATAAGTCTTAATGACTTATTTTTATCCATAAATATAAAGGAGTTTGTGATCATTCTTATCAATTATAACTACTTTGATAGACTTATTTACAAAAAAAAAAAAAATACTTAGAGGTTATTTTTAATTTTTAATTTTGAAAAGAGCTCTTTAGCATATATCCAAATAAGAGTTAATGTGAAAGAGTTTTTAAAATTTGTAATTTAGGTTATTTTTTATATCCTAAAAATCTTGGTTCATCTTTCCTCGTTAGCCCATTAATGAGCATTTATTATGATCTTGACATTAAAAGGTCTCTATGTGACTCTGAAGCTGATAAGGATTCATCGTAACAATCATTCTCGTGAATGTCACTCTTTTTTTTTTTTGAAGCAAACCAAATCAACTTAATTCATTAAAAATAAGAATTTCAATACAAGGTGGAATTAAATCAAAACTAGTAGAGCTAGCATGAAATCTGGACGCCCTAACTAAGGTGTAAGCAACCTGATTTGTTTGTCTCCTTATGAACCTTACCATTAGGTTTGAGTGAGATTGTAGTACTAATTGATATTTACGTAAAACATGACCGTATTCTGTAGGAATAGAGGTGGAGCTTAGTACATCGTCAACTACTTGCTTGGAGTCCGTTTCTATAATAGCGTTTGTGATGCCCATATCACTAAGCCATGTGAGAGCTTCTAAGAGGGCTAGAGCTTTAGCTTCTTGGGAGTTTATGAAACCTTGTTGCCAACTGGATTTAGCTTTAATAAAACTTCCATCAGCGTTCCTAATGCATAGGTCGAAACCCATAATATTTTCTTCCTTGAAGACAGCTGCATCTACATTACATTTTAGCAAACCTGGGAGTGGTTTGGTCCAAGTGTTAACATGCGTTTTGCTGTTGGGAGGTTGATTTGTCTTTTACTTTTGCAAACTGCCATTATGAGTATCTTTGCATGGCCTTATGGACTGCTATCCCAGGTGGAGTTGTAGTGCCAGACCATACCTTATCATTTCGATTCCTCCAAATGGACCATAGGATAACTATGACTTTACATGCAATATCATGATGCAGGTTTGATATTAGGGAGAAAATAGTATCCTTAAAATCCTCTCCGTTGTCAATATAGGCATTTATCGATGGCCATAAACTGGAGGTCATCCAAATTGATTCTGCTGTTTGGCATCCAAAGAAAATATGCCATTCATTTTCTTGGTTTAGACTGCAGTGCGCACATAGAGAAGTACAGGGGATTCCACGCTGCTGTAGATTCATTCGTGATGGTAGACACCCTCAAGCTATTCTCCATAGAAAGATCTTCATGGTATTCGGGACTTTCAAGCTCCAAAGTTGTTTCCAGTTTCCTGGCACACGAAGATGCGTTTGGATATAAGTGATTCCTTCACGTAATAATAAGCAGACTTCACGGAGTAAGAACCTTTGCGTGAGAGCTTCCATGATGGTGTGTCGTGCTCGTGTAAGTTTAGGAGAGGAATAGAAAAAATATCTCTAATGTCTTCTGTCCCAAAAAAAATAGATAGGAGGTCTTGATTCCACTTTCTCTCATTCATGTCGATAAGCTCTGCTACTGTGAGGTTTTCATGTCCTTTTGGAATAGGTGTTGTTACGTAGGAATTTGTGGGATTACGGAGCCATGGGTCATGCCAAACCTTCAAACTTCTTCCATTACCAATGCACCATCTTAGGCCGCCTTTTACCACTACCTGTGAAGCATGGATGCTACGCCATACATAACTTGGATTGTGACCCAGCTGGGCCTCCAAAAAGTTCCCTCTTGGGAAATATTTTGCTTTGAAAACTCTTGATAATATAGCATCGGGGTTGGAAAGGAGTCTCCAACCTTGCTTCCCTAGCATGGCTAGGTTAAAGCCATAAATGTGCCGAAATCCCATTTCGCCGTATTCTTTTCTCATAGATAATTTCTCCCAGTTTAACCAGTGGATGCCTTTGTTTCTTTGTCTGTTTAACCCCTACCAAAAGGAGTTCAACATCCTTTGGATCTCTTCTCCTAGAGAGGTGGGTATTAACAAAAACTCCCATGCAGTACGTAGGTATGGATTGGGCTACTGATTTTATGAGGACCTCACGCCCTGCCTTTGAGAGGTGTTTTCCTTTCCAGCTTTGTATTATCTTCCATATACGATCCTTGATTTGGTTGAACAAAGCTTTTTTCTTTCGTCCAATCATGGGGGGTAAGCCAAGATACTTGCTAGTGCCAATGCTTTCTGTGATATGTAGCTCCAAATTGATGGATATTCGAATATTGTTTGGGGTATTACGGCTATAAAAAATCTCTGACTTTTGGAAATTTATTGATTGACCAGATGCTCTTTCATACAAATCTAGGATTTCTCGAAGTTTGGAGCAGTCATGTGGAGTGGCTTTACTAAACAAGAAGCAATCATCTGCAAACAGTAGATGAGTTATTTTTGGGCCTCGTGAATGTCACTCTTGATGGGGTTATTTTATGATATTTGTATGAAGGGAGATTTTATAAGAGTTATTTTTATCAGAGGAGCATTACACAAGCATACTCTACAATGATGAGATATTGTCCGTTTTGGGCCTAAGTCCTCACAGTTTTGCTTTTGATTATTACCCAAAAACCTAACCTTTCATGCAACGGAATCTATCTTTTATATATCACATTATATGTTATGATATCCGCTTTGGGCCTAAGCCCTCACGGTTTTGTTTTTTATTATTACCCAAAAACCTAACCTTTCATGCAACGAAATCTATCTTTTATATATCACATTATATGTTATGAGGGGTTATAAGGGTTGTTACCGTATCTAACCTTGCGGCTCTAATATTATTACATAAACATATTTCACAATGATGAGATATTGTCCGCTTTAGGTATAAGCTCTCACGGTTTTGCTTTTGGTTATTATCCAAAAGGCCTCTAGATCATTGAAATATGTTTTGTGTTATATAAGTCGTTATTTCTTGTCTTATTTTACCGATGTAGAATTTGTTTGTATCCCAACAACTCTATTGTGTATTTATCATTGTTCTACAAGATAAACTTTTGATTTCTTTTTTTTATTGACTCACAATTGACAATTATGGGTCAAAAAATAAATTAATCAGTCTTGTTATGACTTGTTGAACCACTAATCGACCTAAAACAGAACGATTAACCCACCTTGTGATGGTGGGTTGAAAATCATGTCCATCTTGCTCAAATGCACCAACTAATTAATAATTTATTAATCTTAAAGTAACAAATTAACAAATTTACTTAAATAACTTAAACTATATTAATAATCTATTAATCTTAAAGTAATGCATCATTCATATTACTACCATTATTGTTAATAACAAAAGCGTGGTGATATAATAGTAGAGAATAATAAAAATCTTAGAGAAAATAATAATAATAATTTCATAAAAAATAAATTTATAATTAAAGTAATATAAAACTAATAAAAACTACTAGATAAATAACACTCAACAATTACAAAATAAATGAAGTTTTAAACGATGATGTAGTGAATATGGAAGGGCGAGGAGGGACAGAAACTGTCGTAACACCCTCAAGCATTTGGGTAACCTTCTTCATGGAGGGTCTCAGCGAAGGATCTTCTTGAATGCACCAAATTGCAACCATCACAACCTTTTCCACCCTCTTCATGTCATTCTTTGCCTCCTCATCATTTTCTACCAATTTAACCACTTTCCCTTGGCTATAACAACGATATGCCCAATCTATGAACGCCTCTTCTTCACTTTCCATAGCAAAGGCAACACTAGATTTGCAACATATGATCTCTAACAACACCACTCCAAAACTGTAAACATCTACTTTAGTTGTAATCGAAGCTTTTCTAAACCATTCGGGTGCAAAGTAACCAATTGTCCCTCTCAAACCCGTCTTAGCAGCTTTACTTTGCTCAGCCAACAACAACTTTGCCAACCCAAAATCAGCAATCCTAGGCGTGAACAACTCATCTAGGAGTATGTTTTGAGGCTTTATGTCACAATGAATGATCTGAGTGCTGCACTCTTCATGCAAATATGTCAAACCTCTTGCAATCCCCAAAGCAATTTGCACTCTTTGGTTCCAATGAGGCCTTGAGATCCCAAAGAGAAAGCTAGCCAATGAGCCATTGCTCATGTACTCGTACACTAGAAGACGATGCTCCCCTTCATCACAATAGCCAAGTAAACTAACCAAATTCCTGTGGTGGGTTTGTCCAATCACACTCACTTCTGTTTTGAACTCCTTTTCACCCTCTTGCACCACCTTGTCTAGCCTCTTCACAGCAACATACCTGCTTGTGTATGATGTTAACACCCCTTTATAGACCGTTCCAAAAGCACCTCGACCCAACATCTGTTTAAACCCTGTGGTTGCTTCTTCAAGCTCCTTGTAAGTAAAGTACCTTGTCGTTGAAGCTGACAAGTTTTGATTATTCAAAAGCTTCTTGTGGTAGAAAATGAAAAAAGCAGCAAACAATGCAACCAATAGAAGGAAATTGAGGAACACTGAGCTCCCAAGAAGTATTGATATGACAAGCACAAGGGAAGAATTTTCTCTCTCACCCTCTTTCAAATTTGTTTTAGGCACCTTGACAAAAGCTATTCTAGTAACATTAGGGTGCTTCCTTCCATTGCTCAAGGGATACTTCTTCTTCCAACAACTTTCCTCACCATATATGGCCACAGCACAAAAGCAATCTTCTAGGCACTTTTGTCTGCACATATGCTTGTCCATTGCAGTTCCAACCAACATGTCATAATCAGAGAGAGGCCAGTCCAAATTTGAATACTCGTTGAAATCCACAAGATCCTTATTCTGCTCCCACCCGTCTTTGTTGCAGCTTGGCAGTGGAAAATCTGGCCTACAACCTGTGAGGTTGTCATGCTCAAAAGGAGAATAATGATCAGGGCACTGACAATCTGGCTCCCCATTGATGGCAACACAGTAGCTGTTATAACCGCAGATAACATTACCAGTTTGCCTCGTGAAGGAAAGACAAATATCTTGCGGATACTGTTGCACCACACTCCACCACCCCGAACTGCAGCTACCAGCAACCGCGTTCTCATCTATGATGCACAGATACGATATACATATTAGATACAACAATACCATTATTCTAAAAATCTATAATAAACAATACATGTAAGACAGTATAAAAATTCATATGCTTATTGGAAACATTATTAAGAATATGCTTCTTCTCTCATATCTCATACATAGAACATGTTCGGATACAATTTTAGAAAGGATTTTAAGATCTTCTCTACTAGAAAATATTTCTTATTTTTGACAGAAAAATTCTCAGAAACTCTTATATAGACCGAATCCAAATAGGTTCATAGCTGTATTAGATTTTCAAAACTTTTTTCTTCTAAAAGCTTAGATACTTTAGAGATAGGTGAACTATTTATGAATATGGTATCAGATACGGATCGTGAAGCATATGAAGCAAATGATGATACTGCATGTGTTCTCACCTTTCCTGTGGCGATATAGTCTGAAAACCCCATCATGATCAATTCTTGCCATGTACAAGAACTCGTCTGATCCACCGTTCAGAACTTCACTGATGACAACACCCGAGTCATTCTTTATGTACATGTGTCCAGACTCGTCAAAGAAGAGCTGTGATTCAGTTCCGAAAGTTCCAGTGGCCCAGTAAGCATCATGTTTTGGAGATTGAGAGGTTTCATCGCTCGATTTTGGCGAATAGTAAAGAACCAAGTTGCTATCGCCCTGCCAACTCAGTTGAAAACTGCCATCATAGAAACTCGTGTCAGATTGACGTGCCCTGAAGTCTTTAGATTTATTTAAATTCTGACCAGGCAAAATGGTATCTGTGGGCTCTTCAAAGCTCTCCCAAACCTGTTTTCCAGTGTTATCAAGAAGCACGAAACTTCCATTGTCTAGCATAGAAGCACATGATACTAAGGGAACGCTGTTATTTTGTGGACGTTGCCACAATATCTCGTGGCTATTTGGGTGGTACACTACAATTCCTTTGCTTGTGAGGTTCAGCGTGGAGCTTGGAGGAAAAGAAGGATCTTGTTTTGGTTTTGCATGCCATACTATGGTTTGGTTGGGGTCTTTGTTGAACCAAACGGCGAGCACGGACTTGAATTCCTTGTTGTCGAATAAAACACTTCGGAAACCAAAGGCAAAGTGGCCCAAAGGTGAAGTCCATGGAACTGTGTCATTGGTGACTAGAGAGGAATTTAACTGTATGCTAGTAACAGTACAGGTCAGGCTGAACACAGATGGGAGAAAAGGGAGAATCAGCAGAAGGAAAGAAGATGAGTGAAGAAAAGTTGAAGAGGCCATTAATTGTTGCTCTCTGATTAAGAAACTTGTGATTCAAAATTTCATATAATATAACATTTTATGGCAGGATGGATTTGTTGCCTTGTTATATTCTCAGCATGTTGGTCCAAGACTGGAACCTAACTCCGTATTGTTTGATTTGGTCTTGGTTTTCATTTTGTTTTTTCTGATAACAAAAACAAGACAAATTCTTTGCAAACAAGTCTATGATACAGTAGCAAGGGAAGTTAGATCATTATATTAGTAAACAATTACTTTAATTAATTTATAATCTAATCTAGGATTAGGCGCACAAATCCTTTCTCACGAAAAGGAATCAAAGATAATATAATCAATCAAAAGTGAGATAATTGAGAAAAATAAATAAATTATTGTGAGTTACATGACACGGTATACCATGAACACGAAATTGCATATAATTCGGAAGAAAGGTCACCGCGTGACCATTAAAATATTTTACCTGTTCCGATGGACCTTTCTATCAACTCCCAAAGTTTTCTTAGGAAAATCTCCCATAAATTGAATGAATGAAAAGGAAAGTCAGAGCATGTGGCCAAATTAATGCCTCAAATACATAAGCTACAATTTCGTGCCGGCCCTTTTGTTTTATTAGCTTAGCCTGGTCTACTCTTTTACTTGCTTGGCTAATCTTATTTTAATGTATAACACCATGGGATATGGGTACATTTATGGTTGAACAAATAAGAGGTATTTATTTAGATTATAAAAAAACTTCGTTTATTATTATCATAATTTTGATTTTCTATAAAGATGACTGTAGTGGAGATTGAATCTATATCTTTATACTTTCATTATTCATCATATTCCTAATCCTAGTGATTATCTTATTTGTAAAGAAAGATAGAGAAAAAAAAAAGAATAAAAAGTGAAATGGTTATTTAATTGTTTGGTAGGATAGTAAAGCGAATGAAAGAATAAGCAGGAAAAGAAATATATTTATAAATGGCTTCGGGTTGGGTTAGCTAGGTGAAGCCACACCCACATCCTTATTCAATTTTGCAAATGACTAATAAAAGTTTAATAATTAAGAAATTATATTTTTTATAAATTGTGAGCCACACCCACATCTTTATTCAATTTTGCAAATTGACTAATAAAAGTTTGTGTGTGTGTGTGCGCTTTTTCAATGCTACTTTTATAAAATGATAGATAAGATTAATGTAATAAGGTGTGCATGTGCATTTGAGAGTTGGTCAAACAAAACTGGTGTGCATGTGCTAGTGAGAGTTGGTCAAACAAAACTGGTGTGCATGTGCTTTTGAGAGTTGGTCAAACAAAACTAAGGTATATGAGGTGAAAGTTGAAAAGTGAATTTCATAAGTTCATAAATCAAGTTTTTAGAGAAAAGTTAGAAAGAAAATTTATAGGAACTCTGAACTCCTTTTCAAGCTTCTAAGTGACTCCCCCAAAGCTAGAGATTTTGGGATCTTAAAACCAAAAGAAGATTATAGAACTGAGATTCTTAAGGATTATAATTAAGGGAGCTCGAATGAGAGTTGGAGAGAGAGTTCTCTTCTATCTCAAATTTTTTTCGTAGAAAGTTCAATTAGGTAAGAAAAACTCGATTATAACTTATTAATATTATATAAGCTTAGTTTTTGTTGCTTTGTATTGAATTAATGGACAAATATCGATCATTGATGAGATGCATGTTTGGGTTTGGTGTTTTTTTAAGATGATATTAAATTGTTGAGTTTGTGCTCAATATGTCATTGCATGTGTTGCTTTTTATTGGCTTCGTGATCTAAATATTGTTTTGGATTTGTGACCTAGATGTTATTTCTTTAGGCTTAGAAGGTGTTGGAGAGTTATAGCACCATAGAGGTGTTGTGCATTCTTGCTCAACAAGATGATTCTCGTTGAGTAGGCCTTCGTGGGTTGAAGGCCCAAAACCTAAATTTGGGTTTTCCCTCAACGAGCCATGTCTTGTTCAATAAATCTTGGGTGTTAGTGGAGGTTTTACTAAGCAAGAGAAGCTCATTTAGCGAGAGGGAGCCATAGTTGTAGCTTGTTTAGGGAGAAAGAGCCACATATGGTTTTGACCACCCATCAAGAAAAGCTTACTAAGCGAGAGTTTTATGTTGATAGGTTTTTGTTCAACGAGATAAAGGTTTTTTAACGAAAAAATTGTTTTTCCAAAAAGTGTTTCTAGTGTTGCGTGATGTATTCCTATGTTCTTGGTGGGTTAGGAACTGAGTGTTATTGTCCCTAAAGGGATAAGTTGTGCTTGGCCCAACTAGGAATGAGTGTTGAGTTCCTGTAACATCCTAAATTTTATACAATAGTTAATTATTATTTTATATTTATGAAAATTATTTTCTTATAGTTAATTATATTATAAATATTACCTACGAAAAATAACTTATTATAAATTTGCATGATGTTATAAACATATAAAATAAAATGGTTCAGTGGTTTAACTAGTGGTGCTTAAGAACTACATGTACTGGGTAATGGGTTCAAATCCTACCATGGCCTTATATATTTTTATAAATAATTAAAATTAGGAAAAGATAAAAATAACTCTCTCAATGCTCCCAAAGTGTTTCTGTATAAATATTATTTCTGCATGAAGATAAATATTCCTTCGTACCAACTCCCTTACGTAAAAACCACCCCTATAAATAGCGAACCTCAACGGAAATTGGGAAAAGTGAGAAAGAAAGAGAAAGAAAGAAAGATAAACAACTTTAAGGTAAGGGGGAGGAGAACCTTATCTCTTTAAAATTTTATATCCTACTATGTTTATTTATTTATGTTATTTTCTATGTGTATTTATTGAGTGGGGTGTCCCTAACCTCATTTATTTGCTTAACCTATGATTATATTTATCCATATTAATTATTAAGGTGTTCATATTTTATATTGTTTAATTATTTTATAATGATTGTCATTTTTATTTATATCATTGATACCCTTAATATATTCTTTTTACGTAAATATATTTATTGTAAATATATTTATAATCAACTGTGATATAGTTGTGATATCTTGGACTCGTCTTGTTATTTCTTCACGTATTTATGAAGATAAATATTGTTCTATGGCCATAGAAGATAAAGTTTGAATTATTTGTAGCTGGAGGTTTGACCTTGGGGATTTAAATGAGTAAGAAATGAAGGTGAAATATCCTATTGTTGATTAAGGTGAAATACCCTTTTGTTGGTTGATATGATGATGATGCTCATTTATCCTAACTAGTCACTACAAGTATAATTCAAATTTTATGGTATCATGAGAATCTAATATATGATCTGTATATATATATTATATATATATATATGTTTAATATTGATTATAAATGATCTTGTATATTCTTTTGAATTATTGTATTTATTGGATATTGTTCTCACTCCTTCTCTTTTCTTTGTTTTTAAAATTAAATATATTATAAAATAGATGGATCTGCTTGGGATTCCAGGTCATTTTGCAGTTGTTATTACCGCCGTCCTGCTTGAAAGAAATTGGGATATGGAGACTATTTGATGGATTTGTTATAATTTTAATTGTCAACAATATTATTTCAATTGAAATTTTCTTTTCACTATCAATGTAAATATTGTAATAGAAGTGGAAAAAAAAAATATTGTGTAAAATAATATATTATTGTAAATATTTTAGAACGATATATCATGTAATAAATTCACAAAATATTCTTTTTTCTTTATCTTTATCTTTATATAAAAAAAATATTGTTAATGATATAATTGCGAAAATATTATATAAGAAAATATATAATTATTATTATATAAATTGGTCGTTACAGTTCCAAAAAGTCTTAAGGACTAGTAACGTGAGGTTTTTGTCTCGGGTCTAGTGATGTATGTAATATAGATGAATTGCTTATACTTAAGTTAATTATGGGTTGATGATGATGATGTTGCTTATATAACTAGAAATGTGTGTGTGTTTTTTAGTGTTTATGATGGAAGAAACTTGTAGGAATGATTGTTGTTCTCTGCTAATCTCAATCTTCAATGTCCAATCAACTCTTGAGGTTCTCCAATGGTGATTCACGAAAGCAATACAAGCTTCAAAAGCTTGTAGGAAGCCACTCTTGTGGTTCGGTTTCTTCTTGAAGAAGAAGAAGAAGAAGAGACACCAAGGCACAAAGGAAGAAGTCCTTTGTGAAGGATCTCTAGGGGCGAAAGTTTCTCCACGGAATTGACTCTTGAAAGTGAGAGAATTTTGAGAGAAAATTATTATTCATAAACTCCAAAAGTGAATACAATGGTTAGGAAAAGACTTATATAGAAGAAGGAAGCTTGTGGAGCAAGCTAAGCTTAACCATGGTTCTCTTGAACAATGGTTAGCTTAGCTTGACTGTCCATCATAGTTTGGGGGGCTTGTGGAGCAAGCTTCTAACTTAGTAGCTTGGGAAGCAAGCTAAGTTAGAAGCTTACTAAGTTAGAAGCTTGTAGCACAAGCTTCCCAAAGGTGCCAAGGAGAACAAGTAAATTCGGCCAAGGATGGGGGTATAGGCGGCCAAGGACTTTGTTTCATATTAATCCAATCCAAATAAATTAGAATTGGTTTAGTTAGGTTCACCAAATAATGGTGAGGCCTAGCTAAATCAATTCCTTGAAAAATATGGAGCAAAACAAGTCCAATATGTAAAATTTGGCCTAGGCCTAACTCTGACCCATTTACTAGTTACTCCTACACACCTTGTTAATTGTCACCCCACTTCTACTACTAAAAATGTAAAAATGCATGACATTTATACAAGGTCAAATAGAGTAAAAGCCTCCAAAGAACCTATCCTAAATAGTCAATAGAATATCCTATAAAGAAAGAAATAAAGTGTCTCACAAATACAAAGGCAAAATAAACCTATACAAGTAACTACTATGTACACAATCATATGAAAGGTCTTCAAAATCATCTCATTCCTCTTGAGTCCTTTAATGTATCACCTCTTGTTATTCTTAGCCTTGGCATGAATCCATCAGTTTAGATGTTGGCACAAGCCTAGGGTGGCCATAGTTAAGTTGTGTGGGTTTATGCATGGTGTTAAGAGTGAATGTAGAGAAGGCTTGGGCTTTTATCTCACGGAGTTGAGTGTTGTGTTGGCAAGGCCAAATCTCTTTCATCCACATTGTTTTAGAAATGTCTTTTGAAGTGGTTTGAAGGGAGAATGGTGAGTTGAGATGTTTTATTAACTTGTTCAGGGGGAGATGCTAGTTGATTAGATCTATGGGAGCCTAATGCTTTGTGGTCTCACATATGGATATTTTTTTTGAAAACATGATTTTCCTTTAAATAGTGTTGTGAAAATGATAATGAGTTGTTGCATACTAGGTGTTGAATGGTCGTATCTAGATTCCCTGAACTTGGATGTTAAGTTGGCATGTAAGTTGTGGGTAGTCAGTCACCTAGGTGCACCTCGACTTAGTGTTGGAAAGGTGCATGGTATCTTAAGGTAGATAATGGACTAAATCTACAAGGGGCTTGATTTTTTAAACAAATGTATAGGATATTTACATTGTTCATGCATGACGACACATAGTGCAGATAGACATGTTGATGAGTTGTATGTAAGTTATGGCCTACAATGTTGATTTGTATTGGTGGTTGAGCATGTATCCACGTGGTAGAATTGTGTTGCCATTATGAGCAATTGAAGCTTAGTGTTATGTGTTGTAATCTTATATTTTTATGCACTTCCATGTTTATATATCTTATGTTGTTTTATATAAAGTCTACCTCTGTTGTTTGTTTTGTTGACTACAAGATCATATATTGACATAAGAGCAGACCAGGTATAATTAGAGGTTGGGTGGCTGAGAGTTATTTTGGTGGTCATTTGGTGGATGGTGGAAGTCAAAAAAATAATTGGTCTCATGACTTGGTTGTGTTTTATAAGACCAATTCATATGTATATATGTTTTGATACTTTTATTTCAATTTTGTATATTTTGAGACTATAATTTTATATGGAGATTTTATTTTACTGCTTTGATGACCAAAAAGTTTTTTATAGCTTTTGATTTTGATTGATCATTGAAATCCCATACTGAGTATACATATTCTATACACGTATGATATCTAAGTTTTGTTGCATGATAAACTTACAATAAATGACTTGTATTTTTCTGTTATGTTGTTTACTTTATTTTGTGTCGATATATAACTTGTTGGGTCATTACAATTAATATATTATATATAAGTATTTTTTATATTAAAAATAATTATAAAAATTACCACATTATCAATTTTCAATCATTTCTTAAATTAAATAATATAATATATTTATTATATTAAAATAAATATCACAATAAAAATAATTATTCTAATAATTATTTAGCTTGAATTTTTTTTAAAAAAAGTAAAGAAAACAAACTAATAAAAAAGTCAAAAATGACAAGTTGGCCTTAAAATTCACAACTTGCATAAGGTTGAATTTGGACATAAATTTGAAATATCGAATTAAATCTAAGTCTTTTTAAGTCCCAACCTATTATAATTCGTTACTTGCATCGAGTTAATCCACTATGAGTTGAATAGTTTACTTTAATAGCTCTAATGTCATTCGTACAATATTTCTATGCATTTAATCATTAGTCAAAAGTTATTAAACTTAAAAGAACTAGTTTTTATACAATTTAAATGAAGTGATACAAACTTGTTATTATAATTAAAACATATTATCTATAAAATCTAACAAAAATATAGATAAAGTAATTCATGAAACTCATTTCAAGTTATTAAAAGATTATAAGATGAATTGTACTATTAATCATTTATCTTATTTTTTGAATTCATTTTAGTTTTTTAAGTATTAAAATGTTCATTTTGATCTTTTATCTTTTCTTTTTGAATGAATTTGATTTTTTTTTAAAATAATGATCGTTTTCAATTTTGAAATATAATGTTGAAATTTTTTTGACTGATTCAACACATAAAACTTATAACATTAGTTCCACACACACACATACACACACACACACATATATATATATATATAATTGATGTTTTAATTTAAAAGAGATATAAATATAATGAAAATCATGTGAAAATTTTATTTCATGAATAAGTAGAAAATAATACGAAATTATTTTTTTGACCTTTTTTATTTTCATTACATTTATAACACTTTTGGTTTGAACTTTAGTTGCATTCAATAATTTCTATATAAATAAATTTTATGAGACAAACTTCAAGTTTTGAATCGGTAAAAAAAAAAAGGCTATAAAATTCTTTTGAATCTCACTTTTTATAATTAACTCCCGTCAATTTTATAAACTATTTATAATAATAAATTTTAACCAATTAATAATAAAGGGTGTTCTAAAAAAATTTATGCATTATAAACACTTCTCAATAAAATTACGCACATTCAGTAAAAAATTAACTTAAATTAAGCACCTCTAATGACGTTCATAATTAAAGAGAATCTTATGTTCAAATACTATCTATATATATATACTCATTTTTAAAAAAAATAAATTTAGAATCCTAAATGAATGCCCCTGCCATAACATTTTTTTAATCAATAAAATTTATACCAGCATAGAAATTATTGAGCAGAAATTAATAATGCTTTAATTTTACACATGCCTCTTCCAAACAACATAACTTATTAAGTGGGCCTTGTTGGGCCTCCACCATTGGCACTGTTTGTGGCTGAGGGATTGCTATTCTCTTGTGACAGAATCCTGTAATTGGGTATCCTAGTTCTAACACGAGGAAGATATTGAACATTCTTATCATCATCTCTCTTGGCATGCCATTTTGGACGGTTCAACACTCTTCGCAAATACACTGCTAGAACTATACCAATAACCTGAGAGTCATGAGAGAATATAATTAATCAAGGATCATCAAATGAATTTTTCTAATTTATAAAAATTATAATCACAATAACAAGATTCTAATTTAATATTGTATAAATATTATCTCAATACTTCAATACTAGACTGATGATAGTAATTCTAATTTAGAATTATATAAATACTATCTCAATCTTTCATCACTTCATATGTTGTAAAAATTTGTATACATAATTGGAAGGAAATTAATAGTTGTATGATAATTTGGACAGTATTCTTTTTTTGTTTATTTCTTATCATTTATTAAAGAAAGATTGACATAAAAAATAGGTTTAATATATCATTTAGTTCTTAATTTTTTTAGTTTCTAATTAGGTTCTTAAAAAAAATTGTTAGTTTGTTGTCTATCTTTTTATATTTCTGTAATTTAATTCCTAAGATTAAAGGTTCATTAGTAATTCGTGAAATTTGACAAAGTTTTATTTATACCTTTGCATATAGATAACCACATAAGATTCACTTCAAGAAATGTTATATATAGTGACATACAAAAAGTGTCATCATCGGTACAATATATGTAGGTATATGTCTATTTGACATATAGTTACACACAATTTTAGTATTGATTTTGAATGAGATTTAACAACATATTTTGTATGTCACTATAACTTATACTCACATTTTTTCAATAATATATCAACATATATTGTAGTTATTGTATGGGTAAAAGTAATTTTTAGTGACATGTACGTATCACCATAGAATGTTGTCACTATATAACAATTTTCTTGTAGTGATTATCATTTCATATCATTATTTATGTTATTAGATGTTATTAGGTTTTAATTGTCACTTATAAAAATTATTATAATCTTTCTAATCATAAAAATTATGATATGATAGATAATTTTAAAAGATAGGAATTAAACCCTAATACATATAATGACATAAAAATATAATATTATGTGACTATCTATAAAGAATATTTTATCAAATTTCATGAATTACAAGTAGACTTCTAATTACGAAGACAAAGTTTTAAAATTATAAGAAATAAAGAACTTAATTATAATTTTTTTTTTAAAGTTGAAAGAACTAATTGAAAAATTGAAGAAGTGAATGGTATACTAAACCTAAACATTGTATGACTTATTGTAGGGCCTCAATTCGAAGAGAGAATGCATATTTCTTCTAACCTGCGTTATAAGGACTCCAAGTGCTACCCATTTGATGATTTTCCAATTGACATTCAGAAATTGGTACACTCTGTGAAAATTACCACTTCTGTCTTCTGGCATAATCTGTGAAGAGGTGTTGAGATTGTTTAGAAACTTAATTTTATGATAAAAGAGAATGAAAACAACTATATATATATATATATCTATGTCACCTCCTTCCAGTCGTGTTTATTAAAGAATATGAAAGCAGCAGTTGCCAATTCGACTGCAACAAGTGCAACCAAGAATATACAATACTAAACATAATCTTAAGGAAATACCAAGAAGATTGATTATGATGCACATTGAAAAGTAAACTAATAAATGATAATACAAATATAGCATTAATTATTTACTATAGAGAATGTAAATTAATCTTTAGAATTTGAGGATACTGAAAGTAAACAACAACGGCTCCTCAATGTTGTTCCGATAATTCCACAACAAGAGATAATGAATAGGATTGCACCAATAGCAATTAAAAGGAACACAAACCTGCCAAAATTAAATTATTAGCTTGTGAAGAAGTATATATATTTCTTCATTTAAACAAAATGTATATATTTTTTAAATTCTGAAAATTCATCTCTATATGCAGAAATGTTGGACTTGATGCCTTCGCTGTTGTGCTGTTGGAATCTGATTTTGGTTCGATTGTGAGGGGCGATTTTGATCCAATTATGAGAGGCAATTTGTGTCTTTGGTGTTGTGCCCTTGTGAGTCACATTCTAAATTAATTATTTTTTAACTGGTTTAGTATGTTACAGTAAAATTTTAACTAATTTAAAATATTCTATATATACTAATTGGTTATTATTTAATCATCTTAATAAAGTTGAGATACAAAATCAGTTGATATTATAATCGATTTTGTAAGTATATACAAAATTAGTTATTTGATAATTAATTTTAAAAGTAATGATCATATTTATAAAAGTGTCATTTTGTTATCTATTAAATCGGTTGTAAAATAATCCATTTAATAACTTTGATGTCATAGATTATTTTGTACTAGTGTCTCTAAATTATCCTGAATGTTTTATAACATGATATTAAATTATTTATATAAATTTATTTTAAAGAAAGTATTCTTTATTTGAAGAATTTTTAAAAGAAATATTTTAAAGAAAATGGAAATAATATTATATAAGGAGTGGTTCAATTACTCAAAAAGTAAATTTATCTATATTTACTTTATTAATCTGTAAATTTTTTAAAAATTAAAAAACTATTTAATATTCTCTTTCATTAATTTAAATTAATGAATAATTATAAAATAATATTTTATACACCAATTTAAATTAATAAAGAAAAGTATAAATAGTTTTAAAATAAGTGCTTCCCTTTTCTATTTTTAAAAGTCACTTTTTCTCCTTTTTTTAATTTTATTTTCTATCAAATGAAAGAAAATGCATTTTTGTTTGTTTTTTTTTTTTTTAAGTTTTGGATCATAACATTGCTCCCTTCCGTCGTTTTGGTAACGTGATGAAAATATGACAAGTTTTTTTTTTTTATAAAATGAAAATATGATAAGTCAAAATTTGCTTATGTGACTATTATCAATTCACATGGACCAAAAAAAAACTATTATATTTATAGGAACTAAAAAATTGTTATGTATTCTAGTTATTAAAAAAATCGTCATGCTGACAACATAAGCTAAGTTTGTGGAAAATGCATAGGGTTAATTTTCGTACAACAAATCTTTGGAGAGAGGCGATTGAAGTTTATTAAGGATGATTAAGTCTTGAATTGAACTCATCTAGTTTAAATTTTTAAAAATATCTCAGGATTTTTCCAAGAAGTCAAAGTCCCAACTAAGGGAGTTACTAAGAAGTCAAAAGTCCTAATTACAATAATTACCAAGAAATCAAAGGTCTTAATTAGGATAATTACCAAGAAGTAAAAAATCTTAATTATGATACCAAGAAGTGAAACGTCTTAATTACTATCGGTTATAGTAGTTGATTTTATTGAATTTATAAAATAAAATTATTATATATTAATTTTATTTTATTTTATTATTATATTTTTATAGAAGAGATAAAAAAAATTAATTATTTTATAAGAAGATATTTAGTTATCAAATTCTCTTTTTATTAATAAAAACAAAAAATACATATTCTTACGATATTTAATAATGATTAAAACATAAAAAATAAATTAATATTCTATAAAAAAAAATTATAAAATATCTTATAAAAAGGATTGACATTAAATTTCTTTAAAAAAATTATGTTTTATCAGAAAGAATATATTAATAATTTAGTAAAATCATAAAAGTACACGTGAAATTTTGAATTTTGATTTAAATTATATAATATAAATCAAAAATCAAATTTTTTTTGAAAAATAAATTATTAGAGTAGATGGTCATTCATATATCAAACATGCAAACACATTTACTTAATTAGAGTATCTTTTTTATATGACTATAAGTATATTTTATAAGAGTCGACATTTTGTTCATAATTATTTAATATATATACATACATATATATATATATATATATATATATATATTAATATATAAATATATATTTTTATATAAAAACAAAATAATATATATACATACATATATATATATATATATATATATATATATATATAATTGAAACTTTGAACTCCAACTACAACATTTTATTAATTTATATCCCTATATATTTATTTTTTATTATGTTGTTTGGATTTTACCCCTCTCTCTAAAAACTACTTCTAACTTATTCAAACAAATTTTATATTATATTAATTGTGTCAAATCAAATCATGAGCTAATTGTGAGAGATTAAAATAATATATAAATAATGTAAATTATAATTTCTATAGGTTAAAAAAAAAAAACTGTGCCAATACCATATCAACAAATTTGGATAAAATCATCTTCAATAGTACTTTGTCACATAACAACCATGCGATTGAAAGAGATGAAATCACTCGAAGAAAAACTAAAATCATGGACGGAAAATTTTATAAGAAATATCACCAATCAAATTTTTTTTTGGAGGAATTAAAAATGATAAGGTTAAACAAAAAAAAAAAAAAGAAGAAGGAGCAGATACATAATTAATCCAACAAAATAACATACCCAATGTTTTAAAATTTTAAAATGCAAAACTCATGATAATCACTAATGTGACTGCAATAATAACATATACATGATTATATTTAAATTTTGTTATCATGGTTATTGTAATTTGTACCGATAAAAAGAAAGGTAAAACATACGTACCAAGTCTTTGGCAGTAATTGATCATAAAATTGTTGAGATGGATGATGAATAGCAAGCAGCATACGATGAGCAATGAAGGATTTGGTGTTGCTCTGATCAAGAATCTCCATTGAAGAACTTTGTTTGAACCTGAGGAAGCAAATCAATCCAAAACCTATGGTTCCTACACTCGTTAAGGTGAAGACGAGGTTTATCACAAGAAGAATAAACTCCACACATGGACTCTTTGCCATTTCTTGTTTACTTGCCTTCAACCACACCAAAATGGAGATTCAAATTCCCACTCTATTTCTTTCTCTTCGATTATAAAAGGTAAAGGGCAAAGGGAAACACTATTTTTATTCACGAAATCAATAATTAAATAGCCTTTACTCTTATGCGTATCATAATTTCCTTTTTAAGTTGATTTTCTACGTCTCTTAATTATTATTTAAGATTCTTAATTTTAAATTTAGGTTACTTTTAAATTCTTTTATGGTAAAATTCTTTATATCAATTGTTTTTTTTTTCATTTCAACTAACACTTTATGTTTTCAAATTAGCTGTTTTCAATTTAAATTTATTTTTTCTAATGTAAAATATTCATGTATTTTTACATATTAATTTATTTGAATTTATTATGCATAAGGGAATTCGGAGGCTAAAGTAAAAAGTATATATCAAATTGGGGACGACAAAAATACTCATACCTACGGTATTTATGGGTAAAATTTGCTATGGATAATAAATGAGTAGATTAATTGGGTATTCGCGAATAATGGGGATGAATAAGTTTTTATCCGTTTATAAACGAGGCGGGCACGAGTATGATGATATCCATACCCGCGGTACCCGTTTAATAACATTTCTTAAATATCCTAATTATCTTTGTACAACATAACCCTAAAATTACACTCTCTCATCTTATTTTTTTTCTATTGTCGCACAGCCCACACATTAGTTATTAAACATTATGAGATTGAATTATTGTAACTTTGTGATATGAGACATTCACTTACTTGAGAGATTGATGTATTTTAAATTATTGATTATATTACTTTTTTATTATTATTTCAACAAAATTAACGTTAATTACAAGTTCAAAATTAACATTAAATTTTTATTTTTAATATAGTTTTTTTAATTTCTTAAAATATTTATAAATATGGATATCTATAGATATCCACGGATATTCAAGAAATTCATGGATACTCGTTTAATCCGCGGGTATGAGATGGATATGGGGTCAATTTTCATCCAGCGGGGTCGGGACACATTTACTAATACCCGTCCCATTGGGTCCCATTGTCACTCCTATATCAAATGTTTATATATATTAGTTAAATCATACAAACCACTAGGGTTAGCTTAGTGGTTGGGAGGAGGAGGGGTCGGGGTAGTTAGAAGTATCAGGACCTAAATTTAATCCTCATTGCGGTCATCTTTGTAATGTTTCCTATTTTTATAAAAAAAAAAAAGAAAAAAAAGTCAAATCATACGGTTATTAAATTTTGAACATTAATTATAATTATTAAGAATATAAATATTCCAATTTAAGATTTTGTCCGATATAATGTAATAGGAGTTCCCCTTTCTCAACCATTGGATCTCGTTCCTTCAAAATGAACCAACGGGAAAAAAAAAACTCGCATGATTACTTTATTTTTCTTTTTTAGAACCCTCGCATAATTAATAAGAATATAAAGATTTTAAATTAATATTTTTCCAATATTAATATGTAATGTGCTAATTATATATAATGAGATATAAGGGTTAATTATTTCATTATTATCATTGTGATATTAATTATTTTAAGTATATATTAATTATTTTGTTATCGTTGATATATTAATTACTTTTTTTTACTGTTAGTGTAATTAAATTTTTTTTTTAAATATTTTTTTCTTGTATACTATATAAAGAGTGGTACGGTGAGTTAACATATTTTCTATTTATATTTTTCAAAATATTCTTTAAAAAGTAACTTAGTATTGCATCATTTTAGTAAAGAAGATTAATCGTAAAGTTAATTTTATACAATCCCTATTGAGTTTCATCTATTTATTAGGTTCTTTTGGTTTGTGTAAAATAATTTTGGACAGAGGTAGTAATGCTTATTTAAAGAATAAATTATATTTTTAATCCTTTATTTTCATCAATCAACAATTTTGATCTTCTATTTTTAAAATTATGAAATTTTGCTCCTCTCGGTAAATTGAAATCTACTAATTATTAAGTTTTAACATTTACTCATACTTAAATGATGTGATATTTTGTAACATAACATTTATGAATAAAAAAAATTAACAAAAGCATGCATATAAACTTTTTATTAATAAAATAAATACCAATAACTCATAAAAATATATACAAATGAAGATATTTTATATGTTAATTTTTAATTTTTATTCTTATATGTCACGTCATTAAATATCATGTTACTTAATTTTTTAATTTAATGATCAATAAACATTAAATTGATAGTAAAATCAAAATTTGTATTTTAAAAATAGAGAAATTAACTTCTTTTTTTTAAATAAAGAGAAAAATTATAAATTGACAAAAATAGAGAGATCAAAATATAATTTAACCTTATTTAAAAAGACAAGAAACAATAAAAACCTAAAATATTTAATTTTAAGCATTACTGATAAATTATAGATAATTTTTTATCCATTATATATATATATATATATATATATTCTTATTCATAAATTATAAATAGTTTATCTTAAGCGTTGTCTAATTAATATTTATTGAGACTATAATTTTTTTTTCAAATAAATCATATGTATTTTTCATTAAAATAAATTTTACTTTTATTGGTAAAAAAGTTCTTCTTCTAAATATTTAACATAATTACATATTCATGATGTGAACTTGAAATTATTGATTATGTTAAAATAATCATGTGCCGGTAGATTCATGTGCTCATTGGTATTGAAACTACACTTTTTTGGCTATAGGGCACACATCCTTTCTCCCTCAACATGCTCATTAATAATGAAGCTACGTTTTTTCACCTTCGTCTCCCTATTTTGCAAACTTTGTTACTTAACTTTTAAAATTATATATTTTACCATCCAACTTTAAAAAATTAATTAGCACATTTTATCATCCTATTAATTGACATGTTGGTTGATAACTAATGTGAACATTAACTACCAACATGGCATATTGGACTCAAAATGGACATTATATCACATTATCATTTGTGTATTACATCATCAATCTACATTAAGAGTTAATGAATCATATCACTAATCAATATATAATGTCAACAATTAATATATTATGCATTAACAATTAATTAACAGGATAATAAAATATATGAAATTTTTTAGTCATAAAATATGCAATTTTAAAAATTACGTGACAAAATTCGTAAAAATCATGACGGATAAATAAGATCCAATTAAGACAAAAATTAATTGACTTAGATTATTTATTTATTGGTTTTAAAAAGGAGATCCAAGAACCCGTGTAATAAGCGAATTCACAAGTTAAAGAAAAAAAAAAGTATTTAAAAATATGTTATATTCTCTAAATTTTTTTAATATTTTATGAAAAAGTATTAAATAAAAAATACATACATGATGATACTTTAGAAATATAAAGAAAACATTTAATACTTATTATATATACAACATAAGTAAGATGTTGCAAAGAGATTTAATTATAATTTAAGGTTTATATTTTTTTCTTAAAATAGTTAAATTATATTGTTAATAGAAATATAAAAATACTTAATATTTGAGAAGGAATTCACTTACTTTAAAAATAATTATGGATAAAGTTATTTTACTGAATAACTCATAATATACATTAATTTTTAATGATTCAACTATTAAATAAAAAGTTGTTATTATTAAATATCAAGTCTACTAATTTTTACAAAATTTAAATTTTTTTAATACTTCATTACATTAATTCAAATTCATGTATATTCATAAAAACATATTATATGTTAATTTGAATCTTAAAATGAAATGTCATACAATTTTCAAATTTTATAAAAATTTATAGACTTAATTTATTGATAATAACTTTTACTTTAACTATTAAATTGTTGAAATTCATTATAGACCATGAATTATTGAGTGGTGAACTTCTATTAAGAATTACTTTTTGAGTAAGTTAATCTCTCTTTATATCAATTCCTATGTATAAAACAGTAACAACTATTTTGCGCGGAAATTTTTCTTCAATGAAAAGGTTTTTATGTATTTATTTAATTTCATATCTAATTAAGTTTTTACTTATCATAATTATTTATGAATTAAATTTAAATATTTTAAAATAAATTATCAATAAATAGAAATAATTTTATGGTATAATATAAATTATTTATCATAAATCTAAAATATAATTTTTATATTAAAATATAATATTTATTTATATGCATAATTTATTTTAAGTTTTAGTTATATATAATAAACATTTAACGTGTATATTACACAAACTAAAATACGTGCGTGTGTGTATACACACACAAACTATAGGATGAACTACCATTATAGTTAGTTTACCATACACAACAAATAATAGCCTTTACATGAATCTAATTTTGATGGTGTACCCTTTCGCACAATATCAATACTATTTTTTCTCCTTCCCAACTACTCACCACCGATCATGGATCTCAAAGGTGTGGTATTGGTGCATGAAACACTACAAAAAAAAAATGCTAATTTTTGACGGGAATTTTTGACAAAAAAGGGTAAATTTATGATGGATTTTTTTTTCGACGGATTTAAATTTGTCGGAAAAAGTGGCGTCGAAAAAAAAAATTCGTCAAAAATTTTCGACGAAAAATTCTGTTGAAATATATATATATATTTTTTAATTTTAATAAATTTATTAATGTAACAGTCCTCATATTTGGACTCTCAAGGGTTCTACTTTACGACATTTCACTTTTTAGCGTGTTTTATCCTTACTTGCGTAATTTCTGGAAAACTTCCCAGAAGGACACCCATCCCTATACTACTCCAGGTCAAGCACGCTTAACCGTAAAGTTTTGATGAGTAAGCTACCGAAATGTATATGTATGTTGTCAATATAACTTATACAAATTAATTCATTTAAGTCATCCTCAAATATACAATCTCATACTTGTACTATAATAATTATATATAATAATTTTATATTACGAATAATAATAATAATAATAATAATAATAATAATAATAATAATATATTCAATTATTCTTTATTTATATGTACTTACTTTTATAATTAACATCTACTTATATTTGAAGCATTTGACACACTTAGTGATCAATGTTTTGTTGAAGTAACTACAAACAAC